TTTAACATAATCTAAAGGAACGATGCTGCTTAATATCTGCAGTCATCCGTGCTACCTATATTTTAGGTTCTCGGTTTTTTTTCTCTCTAATTATCACTGACTATGAATTAATACTTTCACCACAGAGGGATCCTTGGATCAGATGCACTGGGCAACCAAATTCCCAGACTGTGGAGGCAAGAAGCAATCACCTATAGACATCCAGCGGCGCAATGTCAGGTTTAACCCAGACATGTTAAAGCTGGAGCTGAGTGGGTATGAGGCTCAGAAAGGACTTTTCCGCATGACCAACAACGGACACACAGGTAAGAGGTTTTTCATCATTGGGGCTTTTTATTCTTGTGTTTTATGTCAGTCTAATTATGTTTTTTTTTTCATTCTGTTCTCTTGTTCCCTGGTAAGTTCATACAATTCCAACTTCAGTTACATGTCTTCCAAAGTATTAATAGTTATTACTCAAATAGAACTAGAATCCTACTGTTTAAAAATCCCAAAGTATAATTTTTAAAACAACTCAAAATTTAAAAGTAACAGTAATGCAGGAAAAATGAGATATGCTTTACTGCACTGGCCTATTAAATGAAAATCTTTCCATAATTCTGGATGTTAATTTCCTTAAACTTCATTTTCTTAGTTTAAAAACTAATGGCAACAGTGTCAAATATATCTTTTCATCCATGAAACTTAAATTTCAGCCAGTAGCACAAAAAAAGATGGTGGGCCAATCAGGAGCTTGTTGGGGGTCTAAACTCAGGGAAGCGGGCTTCAGGTTAAGCTGTGGCTTTCTGCTCGTGGAATGTCTGTGTAGCGTGACATTGTTTTTGAAAAGTAAAAAGTGCAGGGGACAAAAACGCTTGTTTGAAAAAAAAGCAGGGGACATGTCCCCCCCCATCCCCCCCGAAAATTACGTCCATGTTTACATCATCATGAATAACTATTTATTTTGGTATGTGGCGACAAGTTGGTGCAGTACTGAAGCAAACCACAAAAAAATTGTTTGGATAAAACAAATTATTTTGATAGTTTTTATTTTTTATACCAACACGCCATAATGAAATTGAGGTAAAATGAAACAAAACTAACAAATCTATTTTTAAAATTTAAGGAGTAGAAAGTAGAGATTATTGCAAAAAATGTGAGGAGAAGAAGTAAAAATTTGTCTAAAAGATAATTAATCCAGTAAAGTTTAGATAGGCAAAATTTCTACTTGAATAAGGTAACAAAGTATTTGTACTTAGTTATTTGACACCTCTGTAATCAACCACCTGCTACCGGTTCAGTAATCAAGTCTAGTATCTAATTTATTTGAAATAAAAAAGTATTTCCTCCCTTTATGTGGGTCCTGCTCTACACGTTTTATAAGTCAGCAATGAACTAGCATAGAAACAATAGAAACACACATTGCACAATAGCTTTCTTTTTCTTTTTATAAGCACCGAGCTTATTGTTTATTTGAAGCTGTCTTTGAATAAATAGGTTTGGAGGGCTGCTGCAAATGAACAATTAAGTATTAAAGGTCGTTGATGAAATGTTAATGTGGCCCTCAGTTCAAATCGACCTGCCTGACACGATGAAGATCACCAAGGGCCTCCCGGGAGAGTTCACAGCTGTCCAGATGCACCTGCACTGGGGTGGCCAGGACTCTGAGCTGAGTGGAGCGGAGCACACCATAGACGGCGTCCGCTACATGGCAGAGGTAGGCTTTGAAACCAGAAATAAAAGAATGATTTATTCAATTCCTGGAAAATATTCAATAAATATATTTTTTTTTGTCCCTTTTAAATCTGACGTGTTTGTGTCTCTTGCAGCTCCACGTCGTTCATTACAATTCTAAGAAGTACAAGAGCTTCTCTGAGGCCAAAGATAAGCCGGATGGGTTGGCGGTGCTTGCGTTTGTCTATGATGTATGTGAGCCACAAAGACATTCCTCTGCTTGTCTGCTCAGCACCTTAATCAGCTCTGAGAGCACTTAGAAAAACAAATGAGCATTTGTTCTGTTAGAGGCAGTTTTAAACATTTCTTTGTGCAGAAAAAAGCTACAAACAATAAACAGCTGGCTTTTGAAGTAAGTTTTTCTCACCATGATACATTGAAGGTGCAGCTAGATAACTGAGACATGTCTGAGCTATAAGAAACTTTCTTCCCCGTGCTTTAAGGTCATTGTGGCAGCAATGGCTCAGCTGGCATCCACTCTGACAGCAGCAAAGACCAAGCTGCCCTTTGAACAACTAAGATGACTTCCACAATTTAGATAAAGTGCGCCTTTTGCAGAGTTTTTATTTTTTACTTGCTCAAACAAGTCATCCTCATTTTGAAGTTAAAAGAGAATGAAGTAGGTTTTGCTTTAAAGATGAGGAAGTAAATAACTTGCCAGCAGAAGTCAGCTCTTGATTTATTATAAACTTAGATTAGCAAGAGGCCAGGGCTAAAGGCAGCAAGAACTACAAAAAAAGCTAATCTCTCAAACATCAGGGGGGAGTGGCGCCGGGTGGTTAGGGCATAGAGCTTGGAATTCAGAGGTTCTGAGTTCAAGCCCCACTCCCACAGACTGTCACTCTGGATCCCTGAGCAAAACCCTTAACCCAACACTGCTCCCCGGGGCGCCACACAATGGCAGCCCACTGGGCTGGGTTAAATGCAGAGGTAAATTTCTCCAATGTTAGATCAATAAAGTTCAATTATTTTTTAAAGGTTTTTGCAAACTCTTTTATAACCCATATAGCTCTTGTCAACATTACTTTAATGGTAAATAGTTTGTACAATCTTGTGTAAAAATGACTTTAAGGACTTTTAAAATTGAGCTGTTTCCAAGATGGGACAGAATCCATGTTGTTTTTGACCTTCTTATTTGACCATTACCTGTTAGCCTCTTGTACTTTGTAATCTTAATTTAAATCAAAAGAAGAAGCCAGTGGGTATTTGTTGCTGATAACATTACTGCTTATATCTTTTTACATTTGAACAATCTGCTAAACATCTCCTTACCCTGTCAAAGTTTGCTTGATCTCTCTAGTACTTGCGCCACACCTACTTGCAGTTTGTACAGATGTTATTTTAAGCGTTAAAATGGACCATATAGTCAACAAATGTGAAACATCTTGTGTTTACTAAGTGGGGTTTGTTTTGTTATTCTTTGATGCCGGAACCTAATGAGTTGTTTCAGTACTTTTATCTAAAGTGAAACCACTCAGCTCATTTCAAAAGGCTTTTTCCTTGATGTGATTAAAGATGATTAAAATGCTCTCCCTTTTTCCAGGATGGTCATTTTGAGAACACCTACTACAGTGATTTTATATCAAACCTGGGGAAAATCCAGTTTGCAGGTGAGTTTCCCCAACATGCACATGCTTTCCCGCATGGTATTCGTTTAACGCATGTGCAAAGTTGTCTTTCTGCAGCCTAAGCTCCAGAGAGCTCCTTTAACTTGCTGTTGTGTTTCCCTGTCAGGCCAGTCTATGAACATTTCCAACCTCGATGTGCGCTCCATGCTTCCAGAGAACCTCAGTAACTTCTTTAGGTATGAGGGCTCCCTCACCACCCCCCCCTGCCACGAGAGCATCATCTGGACCGTGTTCGACACGCCTATCACTTTGTCACAGAACCAGGTACGGTGGAGTGAACGCGTGAGACTAAAATGGGTCTTTGTTGTTTCATTAATTTGCCATATTGCCGCCGCACCCAGATCAACAAGCTGGAGAGTTCTCTAATGGACTTGGATAACAAGACTCTGTGGAATGACTACCGTATCGCTCAGCCACTCAACGACCGCGTCGTAGAGTCCTCTTTCCTGCCACCCCTCGGGAAAGGAAGTGTGTGATAATGCTTTTTTTTTCAAATGCTTATTTTATAGATGACTTGTGAATTTGCAGAGCTGGTTTCAAAGCCATCTTTGTTTACCTTTTACCTCCTCAGCTTTTTGTCGGCAAGAAGAAATCGAATCCAGGCTCCACAGGATCGAGGGTCTGATAACTTCTCTTGGAAAGAATATGTATTCAGGTGCTTAAACTTTTGGATGCAAGTACAAAAAATGTAAATCCTCTCCTAACCTTCTGAACCATTAATCTTTTTTTTTATTTCTAATAGGAGGGCGATCTTTGAGACCCTTCAAACCTGGTAAATGTTTTTATATTTACTACCAGTGTTTTTATTATAATAGCATATACTCCCACGAAATACTCATCTGGCTGCTGAAAAACATCTGCTGACTTCTTCTTTATGTGTATTTAGATTGTTGACATCACAAGAGCGTACAAAAGCTAGCTAGAGTACTTTCTGGCTGCTGAGTGTTTAGACAAATATTTCCTTATCTTCCCTTTGGTCGTAAGTGATGTGCAAAACTGTGTTCTTTACACATTTGCAGCCACTTTATTAGGAACACCCTGCTAGTATCAGGTTGGACAGGTGATTGGCTGATTGGTGGAAGTTGCTTTTTTTAATTGAACCTTAAAAAATGCTTATGTCTCTGAAGATCTTTCAGATCTCGCCTTACACTGCAAAACTAATCAAGAAATAAGTCCACATTTCTTAAATTAAGTGCATTAACCTTTGATTTGAGTAGGTAAATAAGATGATTTGCCAATGGAATGCCTATTTTGACTCTTTAAATAAGATATTTAGATAATAACTGGCGACCTGTCCAGGGTGTACCCCGCCTCTCACCGGTAGACAGCTGGAGATAGGCACCAGCACCCCTCCCTCGCGACCCCACCTGGGATAAGCGTGATGGAAAATGGATGAATGTCTTGCTCAGATGGCAAAGAGTCTCACTTATCTCCTCTCTTCAAGACAAAAATGCACCTATTTTAAGAAAAAATTACCTATTGAGATTTAAATTTCCCCATTGTATGGTCTGCCAAGGTCTCCACAAGCTGCTTTTGTGTTTTATTTCTGCCATATTTTTCCTAAAATGCATTCAGTATTCTGAAATACTACTTAAGTGTTTTACTCCAGCTATACAGAATACTAGTAAATGTACATGTTGAGGGAAAAATGCAAATTGTGAAGATTGAATAAGAAAGGCTTTATTTTCATAACAGACTGCATACACAAGCTTTTTACAGGACAAAGAGAAGCATAAAAATGATAAGATCTCAGGGCGGCAGGCGAGATGCTGGTATCTGTTATATGATGTCATCAGAGGCACAATATTCTATCTGTATTAAATAAAAGTGTTCAGCTAAATGGAAATCAATCCAAAAAGACTGACATGTGACTAAAATGAATGGAAATATGAGTAAAATGTCTGCTTATCAGCTTTAAAACTATGATTCAAAGGTGTGTTTTGCTTCTCCAGCCTGATGAAAGCTTTATTATCTCCATCAGAACACAGTGACCTCTTCCCTCTGGTGCTCAGCTTCGATGATAAAAACGCTGATACATACGCTCTGGCTCAACTCAGCAAGCCCATGGATCTGGACGCCTTCACTGTCTGCATGCATGTTCTCCTCAAGGGTAGAGGGGTCAACACGGTCATCTCCTACTCCAGCAACGGCCATGATAACGAGCTGATGGTCTCCATCACTGACGATACCAATGTGAGGGAGGTGGGTCTGTGGATCAGCAACGAGTTCGTCAACATGCCCCACAGCTTGAAGACCCAAGACTGGACCAACTACTGCGTCACCTGGTCGTCCCACTCAGGCGGGGTGGACCTGTGGATCAACGGGATGGGCGGGGAGCAGAGGCACCTCCAAAGCAGCCACATGATCAGCCCTGGCGGTACGCTCATACTAGGCAAAGACCAGGACGGATATCTGGGAATCTCCAACACAGACGCCTTTGTGGGTAAAATGACGGATGTCAACATCTGGGACTATGTGCTGACCACAGCAGAGATCCGAGACCAGTTTTTGTGCCAGAAAAACGGCACTATTGCGGGGAATGTGTTGAGCTGGGGAAGCAGCAAACTACGCATTTTTGGGGGAGTGCAGCTGGACAACCAGTACAGATGTTCCTAAAGTGGCTTCTACATTTTCAAAATAAATTGCTAAAATTCAAACTTTCCATGTAAACTATGTGAGTTTTTGGGATTCCAACATGATTATAAAAACACTCCCATCATAGTCATAATATCTGTGAGACAAACCAACACCTTATATTTATTCACCCCATAATGTCACCCACTGCTGCTTCACTTCAGCTAGAATATGGGCTCAGATGTGTTTCTTCAATACGCTTGTAAATCATCTTTGCAGGTGAAGGAATTCAGGGTGTAAATTGGGGTATGGGCTCAATACCTCAGCAGTAAGCAGCAATTAAATGTAGTTATTTTAGTCACATTTTTCAACATATCAATGTTTATTTCCTAAAGTCTACTTATTTCCCATGGAAAGTTTCCGAATTTTGCAACCATTCTGCTGAAAACCCTGTCCTGCTTGTGAAATGAGCTCACAAGCTGCAAAACATCCCATCTAATGGTATGACCTTAGTAAATGGTGATGGTAATAAAAGATAAAATGCATATCAGGCTCTTGCAGTTCAATGTTTAAAATGTTTCATAGCTTCATCCATGTATCCATGTCTGTGCATCATAAATAAAGGCCTACGTTAAAAGTTTATGTTTTTTTGTTTTGTGTTTTAAAATACTGTCACATCTTTGCAACTATTAAATATTTTTAACCTGCTGAAGAATGTTAAAAACTAATTGTGCCAAAATTAACCAGCCTGAGTCTGAATCCCTACAAAGATAGCGGAGTCAAAATTAAACCTCTGAAATCCCTCTCTGCATCCTGTAGCTAAAATTTTCCTCTCAGTTCTCTCGTTCATGTAGTCAGAAGGCTTTGCTCCTTTCTGAATTATCCAGGCTCTCTTTGCTGTCCTTAAGAGGCAGATCTCCATCCCCGACTTTGATCTCCGTTTTGTTCCGCTTGGCGAACATCTGGGAAACCTCCAGGAAGGTCTTGTTCTTGGTTTCAGGCAGCACCATCCAGATGTAGATCAGCGTGACCAGGCAGATGACGGAGAAAATGATGAAGCTGTAGGCACCGAGGCCTCTCTGAAAAATAAGGAAGGAGAGGAAAACTAATCTGTTTGTCCTCAGGAGGAGAGGTTGTAAATATGTCAGGGAGACACAGCTGGCCATAAACAGAAGATAGATAGTATGATTTCTTGTATGGAAAAAACTGTTCTACCCCCTAAACACATTCCTTACTTGTTTGCTTTATTCATTCATATTTTTCTACATCTAGAAGGTTCCAACAATCTGTTTATCAAAAAGAGAGCAGCTTGAGCCATAAATAACGGAGGAAATATCTTCTTACTTAAGTGGCCTAATTAGTACTGATTTACAAACTTAATGATGTTACATCTAGAACTAGCTGATGTAAACTTTTACATTTTCTTTGATAAAAGATCTTAGACAGGCTTGTGCCTGTAAACTCATATGTTCACACTCTCAGATGTCTCACATTCAATTTAGCATTAAAAGTTTTCAAAATATATAAACTGGGGATATTTTTTTTGTTTTGTTTTTACAGAGTTACAGAGTTGTTTGCCATATTACAATCACAAACTTTTCAGCGTTTTGTGGTATTTGACAAAAAGTAAAGAATAAATCTCCATTTAGAATGAGCTTGTTACCCATTCTAAATGGCACCAGCTATCTGCTTTAATCTGTAAACAACTTTCAGATCTGGATTAGACTCGATCCTGTAACAGGAACTTGCTTTGATCTAAACCCTCCATTGTAACCCTGGCTGTAGTTCAGGGGCTTTGTCCTGTAGGAAACTTAATCTACACTCCTGCCTCCAGTTTTTCACAAACTAACATGTTTTCTTCCTTCAGCACTGCCTAGGACATCAGTCTCCCTATCATTTCAAACCAGTTCTCCCTGTTCCCTTTAGAGGAAAAGCAAGACACAGCATGCTGCTGCCACCACTGTGCTTCACTCTCAGCCTGTGGGGGCGAGCAGTCATAGTTTTCCACCTTAAATAACAATGTGCATCTAACCATCTAACAAGATCATGTTCTTTCATGTTTACACTCTGCCTTACATGGTTTTTGGTAAACTGAAAACATGACTTAATGACTTCCTTTTCCAGCTGCTTTTCATAAAGGCCAGAAGTGTGGAATTTATAACAAAATGACCTGAGCAGTAGATCTCTGCAGCTCCTCCTGAGGGCTTCTTGGCCTTGTAACTCTCCTTGTCCAATCAGTTCAGCTGGATTTCCATGTTTTCATTAGGTCTGCCATTATGTAATACTTTACTGAATTTTGTTTTATAAAAAATACAGCAAATATGTCAACATGCCACACTAACCTTTCAAAATCTACTTTACAGTTAGCCAGTTAGTAAAAGCAGACCATGTATAATCACACTGATGAATTTTACACAGGAGGCTGTATTTCACTTAGTCAGAAGATAATATTACACCAGAAGTGTGAGTCTGGGAGTTTTACCGTGGAGCCTAAAACTGCAAGCTTGGCAGTGATATTAAACCTTCTTTCCAATATTTCAAAAATGACCTCCATAATATTCTACACCAGTCTTGGAAAGCAGGGCAGGTCAAGAGAATATGTAGAATAGATCCTCCCTCTTCATTACATCTCCAGCAAGCGTCTTTAGGAATAAACTTTCATTTATGGAGTTGTTGAGGGGTTCTATGTCATCGATGAAAGATTTTAATTGAATAATTACTAATTTCTTTATACATTGTGTTTACATTTGGTAAACATGAGTGCCAATCACCTTCAGAGATGTCCAGGGCCATGTCTTCAGTTGAGTTTTTTAACCTTTGATAATGAGTCACCCAATTGAATAATCAACATTTTGTATATGTTAGAGGTAACACCTTTGCCACTGGCCAGCGTACAAAGCAAGATTTCAACAAAGCTGCCTGAAGGACATCTGAGAGGGCTTCCCAGCCATTTGGACAATAAACTACTTAATTGGAAATATCTCCAAAATTGGTTGTGAGGCAAATTATACCATACTTCTTCTATTTCTAAACTTTTTGGTTTTTTTAAATGATCTCCATGTTGCTGTTTGTTCACTAATATTACCTAATAAAATAAAACTGAGTGGACCCAATTTACTAAACTGGTGAGTGTCACAGTCTTGGTTTTCCATTTGTTGTTCTCTGCTGCCCTCTTGTGTCCTCTTTCCCTTGCTCTGTTTTCTGCTCTGCCCTCACCTGTTTTCAATCCCCTCGTTAGCCCTCTCTTTGTCTCTGTCCCCTTTAAAAGCCTCCTCTTCAGTTCCTGTTTGCTGGATCCTCGTCTAACGTCTGTCTGCTTACCTCGTCTCTCCCTGGCTCCTAGAGTTTGGTTTTCCCCTGATGTCTCCTTGGTTCGGATTCATTTGTTATTTTTGTTGGATTTTTGATTCCTGCCTCAGTTCCTGTGAACCTCATTAAACCCACCTAAATTCACCTCTGCCTACCTGCCTCTGCATTTGGTTCCTCCAAACCAACACCAAAATCCTGACAGTGAGTTTTATAACGCAACCTAAGTCCTTTTAAAGATTGCCTAAAACAAGAAGTTCCAATAAAACACATTTAGTTGTGGGTTTGTATTGTCACAAAATGTAAGAAAGCTTAAGAGATTTAAATACTTTAAATCATTTGAATAACTTTTTTTTTCATCTTATTACTGTGATTTGCTTTGCTTTCACTTTCACAGAGATTTATGCAATTTTATTACATAAATTCCCATTTACTTGTTTTTAGATAATTTTAAACCTATTAAATGAACATTATATGACGCATATTCTTAAGTTAATTAGTGATAGAGCTAATGAATTTAAAATGCATAAATGTTGGGTTTATGTATTCAGAATTGATCAATTATACTTACTCAAAGTTATAATTAAGGAGTGTGATGATTATGATGATTGTTTATTTCAAACAAATATGCTTTTTTATTCAAAGGAAAATGGGCCATGTGAGGTTTATTTCATAGGTTTGTGTTAAAATGAACTAAAAAAAAAAAAACAAATGGGAATTTGTTATGTAATAAATTTACATAAATCTTAAAATCTGTGTGAAATATTTTGTGAGTGTTGAATATCAGAAAAATCTACACATAAACATTAGGAGTTGGTCTAATAAGTCTCTGCTCCTTCGCATAACCAACCTCCATGAAGGGGAAAATTAGGCCGACAGCAAAGTTGGAGATCCAGTGGACGGAGCCTCCGACCATGAAAGCTGCTGGCCGGGCCGACTGCCTGAACATCTCAGTGGTCACCACGTTGGGAATGGGACCTGCCGAGTACAACGTTACTCTAAACACTGCAACAAACAATCCTTCTACTAGAGCCACAGAGAGGAGGCTGACATCAAGCACACCAAAGCGCTGAGTTTACTAAATCTGTGATTACATGTCTGGTCCAAGCAGCACTTCAGCTAATGGAGCAGCTGCTGTAACCAGCATCTGAGTAAATAACCACAGGTGGGTCAGGCTTACTGGGACCGATGGCATGTCCTATGACGTAGATGATGACACACGCGATGCTGATGTAAGGCATCCATGACACGTTTTCCTGTCAACAGAAATAAAAAAAAACATTGTCATTAATCACATAATTAGTTCTCAACAGAAACATAGAACTGTGTCCGGCCATGATAACCATGCAGTGGTTTCAGGAGGGACTGTGCTCTGGGTCAGTCTGTTTATAATTCATGCTCTCCCCTGGATTTTCTGAAACATCAACAGAGATGCAAGATATATTTTTTTCTCAAAGCAGAAGTGATCTGCAGGAGTGGAATATAAAACATTGCAGAACAGCTGCTGTTATTAGGCCCTCACATTTTAGTTATTTCTGTGATTAAAACAACTAAAAATACAGTAGTTCTAAAACTGGCAATTATTTTCAATAAAGTTCTACATTTTCCAACAGTTTTCTTATTTTATCATATATCCTTTGTGGTTTTGTTACTATGGCTTTATTTTCCTTGTGTCCATGTCCTTCTTTACTGATGTTTTGATTGAATTGATCCTGTACAGGTGCTGGTCATAAAATTAGAATATCATGAAAAAGTAGATTGATTTCAGTAATTCCATTTAAAAAGTGAAACTTGTATATTATATTCATACATTACATACAAACTCATATATTTCAGATGTTTATTTTGTTTAATTTTGATGATTACAAATGACAACAAATGAAAATCTCAAATTCATCATATCAGAAAATTAGAATATTGTGAAAAGGTTCAAAATTGATGGCCCCTGGTGCCACACTCTAATCAGCTAATTAACTCAAACCACCTGCAAAAGCCTTTAAATGGTCTTTCAGTCTAGTTCTATAGGCTACACAATCATGGGGAAGACTGCTGACTTGACAGTTGTCCAAAAGACGACCATCGACACCTTGCACAAGGAGGGCAAGACACAAAAGGTCATCGCTAAAGAGGCTGGCTGTTCACAGAGCTCAGTGTCCAAGCACATTAATAGAGAGGCGAAGGGAAGGAAAAGATGTGGTCGAAAAAAGTGTACAAGCAAGAGAGATAACCGCACCCTGGAGAGGATTGTGAAACAAAACCCATTCAAAAATGTGGGGGAGATTCACAAAGAGTGGACTGCAGCTGGAGTGAGTGCTTCAAGAACCACCACACACAGACGTATGAAAGACATGGGTTTCTGCTGTCGCATTCCTTGTGTCAAGCCACTCTTGAACCACAGACAGCGTCAGAAGCGTCTTGCCTGGGCTAAAGAGAAACAGGACTGGACTGCTGGTGAGTGGTCCAAAGTCATGTTCTCTGATGAAAGTAAATTTTGCATTTCCTTTGGAAATCAAGGTCCCAGAGTCTGGAGGAAAAGAAGAGAGGCACTTCATCCACGTTGCTTGAAGTCCAGTGTAAAGTTTCCACAGTCAGTGATGGTTTGGGGTGCCATGTCATCTGCTGGTGTTGGTCCATTGTGTTTTCTGAGGTCCAGGGTCAACGCAGCCACATACCAGGAAGTTTTAGAGCACTTCATGCTTCCTGCAGCTGACCAACTTTTTGGAGATGCAGATTTCATTTTCCAACAGGACTTGGCACCTGCACACAGTGCCAAAGCTACCAGTACCTGGTTGAAGGACCATGGTATCCCTGTTCTTAATTGGCCAGCAAACTCTCCTGACCTTAACCCCATAGAAAATCTATGGGGTATTGTGAAGAAGAAGATGCAATACACCAGACCCAACAATTCAGAAGAGCTAAAAGCCACTATTAGAGCAACCTGGGCTATCATAACACCTGAGCAGTGCCACAGACTGATCGACTCCATGCCACGCCGCATTGCTGCAGTAATACAGGCCAAAGGAGGCCCAACTAAATACTGAGTGCTGTACATGCTCATACTTTTCATGTTCATACTTTTCAGTTGGCCAACATTTCTATAAATCCTTTGTTTTTATTGGTCTTCAGTAATATTCTAATTTTCTGATATGATGAATTTGAGATTTTCATTTGTTGTCATTTGTAATCATCAAAATTAAACAAAATAAACATCTGAAATATATGAGTTTGTATGTAATGTATGAATATAATATACAAGTTTCACTTTTTAAATGGAATTACTGAAATCAATCTACTTTTTCATGATATTCTAATTTTATGACCAGCACCTGTATTACTTTTCACATGTTAGTTAAATGAGTTAGCTTTTTTGATTTTCATATTAATTGTGGCTGTGAAAACTATAGCTGAGAAGAAATGCAATACTTTGAGAACTCTTCTATGTCATTTTTTGAAACTGAACAGAACTGAACTGAACAGAGTTTCTTATAGGTTTCTATTAATGTAAAACATTTTATCCCAACAAAAAGAAATAAGCAGGAGCTTTATCCTCCTTCAGCACCCTTCAGTTACTTAACAATACAGCCTTTATTCTGATAATATTTATTCAGGGAATGAAAATTATCCAATAGTTTCAGGGTTTTTTTTTCTAAATAATTAGATTGCACACTGATTAACAGCCTTAAACAAATATACCACAAACATCTTTGTAAAACATACTAATCACAGTGAATTTGAACTTTGCATAATAATCCATTACTTCCTGTTTCTTTTGGCGTACAAAGATGTTGTGCTACAGAGGCTACTTCTCTGACTCACTTTCGAAAACAGGAAAGACCATAGAGCATGTGTGCTCTGTGATGCTGTAGACTTGTATCTCCTGCAAAAACCTCTGGAAACATTGTTAGAGTGCACCATGAAGCTTTAACCCCCAAATCTTGTCAACTCTGGTTAGTAAAATCTAATATTAGGTTAACAGAGACGTCCAAGGCCAAAACCACAGCTAAAAAAGAAGACTAAAAATGATGAAAAAAAATGTAACCACCAGTTTTTAATCTGAAGATGAAACACATTTAGGTTTCTCTAGGCTCTAAAGCTCACTAACAAGTCCTACTCTGAATGGTCGAAGGTCAGACTGAAATCCAAGTGAGATGCCTTAGCATGATCCAATGCTCCAATTGCAACTGACTTTTAAAAATCTAGTTAAGTATGGTGGCACAAATCCCTCCACTTGATGTTAAAGAGTCATTACCTATTTGCTGAACACTTGATGATTTTGCTGCTGAACAAGGTTGATATAACCAAATAATAGGTTAGGGGACAAAACAGGTTTTCACATATTAATTTGGCTTAGTTTATTTTTTTTAATTATTGTTGAAATTATTAATTAATTTATTTTAGCTACTCAGGCTGTTTGTGTTTGATTTTTGTTTGTTTGATGAAACTGTTTGATGTTTGATTATTTAAAACATTAAAACTGTGAATAAAAAAGAACAGAGAAGATCTGTGGATCAACCAGTAGAGGGCACCAGAGTGCCATCTTTAATTGGAGACCCACTGCAGCAGTTTACCTGGAAGTGAAGGGCCACAGTCAGCAGCACACAGGCCCCACAACAGATGCCAAACCCCAAAAGAAGGAGCAGCCGTCGGCCTGAGGACTCCACGATAAAGACCTGTGACAGAAAACGTCCTCTTCAGAACCAAGGCCTCTAACTGGTATAATCAGCTCTTCTACATTTGCAGTTTTTGTTATTCCAGGGTACCCACAGCCGCTATGGTCATGAAGACATTCACTGCACCTGTCCCCACTGTAACGTACTGGACGTCTTTCTCATTTACTCCTGCAGAACCATAAATACTGTCTGCATAGTAGTAGATCTGTAAAAGAAGTATTTTTTTAGGTTAAAGAACATAAAGCAACACAAGAGCAGGGATGCATCTGCTTCATATTGTAAAAAAACAACAAAGATCAGTGTGTTGAAGCACAAAGTGAAGGATGCCTCACCGCGTTGACCCCTGACAGCTGTTGGCCCATGTTCATAATGATGATGGAGATCAGCTGCCAGCGGAGAGACCTCTGGGACAGCAGGGACACCACCGACAGACGGCCCTCGGCCCGCTCCGACTGGTCCTCCAGATGCATCTCTTCCACCTCTGCATCCACATCATCCCAGCCGCGGAGACGCTGCAATGCTGAGAGGGACAAAACCCAGAACACGATTGAATTTACTTTTAAATCAGCCACATAAAGCAAATTTCACTCTTGTCTTCTCACCCTTCCGGCTGTTCTTCTCATCTCCCTTCTGGATGAGCATGTACCTGGGACTCTCTGGGAAGAAGGGCAGGAAAACCAGCTCTATCACTGCAGGAATGCCCGTCAAGCCGAGCATGATGGTCCAGCCTGGATCAGGACAGGTTTAATTTAAAGGCTGAGTGGGAGGAATAAAACAGCAGCAGCAGACATTTTCTAGGATTTATGAGGACCTGTGTTGTTGCCTAGTATGTTTCTGATGCCCATCACTTGTGCAGCCAGGATGCCAATGGTGATGAAGAGCTGTGGGACGATGCCAATAGCCCCTCTCAAGTTTTTGGGAGCGAGTTCTCCCAGATACATCGGCACCACGTTCGATGATAGACCTGCAAATATGAAGAGGTTCTGTCCCATTTTATGATTTCAAGTGAAAACCAATGCAAAGGGGTGCATACTTGTAAAGCAGAATATAAATAAGACATGAATTTTAAACTTTTTGCAAGATTAAAAAGTTTGCAGCTTTATTCAGCTCATTTTATCTCTACAAAAAATGTAAATGCACTTAAAGGCCAGAAAATATAATCTCAGTATTAATCCAGCTGTTGTATGAAGACCTCAGAGATCCGGCATAACAGCAAACCTGACAAAAAAAGTCTGTCCACATAAATGAGAGGCAACACAAGGACGACAATAATGAAACAGCTGCCTAAGACACTGTTTAGATAAGACAATCAAATTAGTAGAATACTCTATCGTATGATGTTCTATTAGTAGTTTGTCACAAGTCATATAAGATACAAAATAAACCATCTCTTGAAAGATGACAGCAAAATTGAACTTTCTGGCTAACTGAAAAGCTGATGGAAATCTAACCCTGCATATCACTGTGAATGCACCACGATAAGTAAAGGCGATGGCAGCATCATGCTGTGGGTATGCTATAGCTCATTATACACACTGAAGCTTGGTAACAGATACGATGCTTTGCAAAAGTTTTCAGCCCTCTTGAACATTTGGAAACTTTGTCACATTTCAGGCTCCAGATGTAAAGATACAAAACTTTTAAGAGTGAATAAGTGGGACAAAATAATGAAGTGAAATTAGATTTATTGGACAATTTAAACTTTTTTTAAACATAAATAAAATTGAAGAGTTTGGCGTGAAATATTAATCGGCCCCTTTATTTTCAGTGCAGCAAACTCTCTCCAGTTCAGTGAGGATCTCTGAATGATCCAATGTTGACCTAAATGACTGATGATGATAAACAGAATCCACCTGTGTGTAATCAAGTCTCTGTGTAAATGCACCTGCTCTGTGATAGACTGAGAGGTCTGATTAAAGTGCAGAGAGCATCATGAAGAACAAGAAACACACCAGGCAGGTCTGAGATACTGTTGTGAAGAAGCTTAAAGCTGGATTTAAACATCCCAAGGAGCTCTGTGCATGTGATAATATTGCAATAGCAGGAGTATCAGACAGCTGCAAATCTACAAAGACTTGGCTGTCCCTCTAAACTTTCAGCTCACACAAGGAAAAGACTGATTGGAGATGCAGCCAAGAGGCCCATGATGACTTTGGATGAACTGCAGAGATCTACAGCTGAGGTAGGAGACTCTGCCCTTAGGACAACAACCATTCGCATACGACTGTGATTACACAAATCTGGCCTTTATGGAAAAAAGCCATTTCTTATATCTATAAAAAGCCTAATTTAAAGTTTGCCACGAACCAGCTGGGAGACACAGCAAACATGTGAAAGAAGAAGCTCTGATCAGATGAAACCAAAATCAAACTTTTTGGTAGCAGTGCAAAACATTGTTTGGCATAAAAGCAACAAGGCTGAACACACCATCCCCACTGTCTAACATGGTAGTGGCAGCATTATGGTGCTGGCAGCATCAAGGAAAAATGGGCAAAAATGTCAGTATCTCGATGTTTAAACTGATAGAGACATAGCCCGAGCTTGCAGCTATAATTGCAAGTAAAGGAGAGTGAATAATTTTGCACACCCATTGTTTCAGTTTTATATTTGTTAAAAAAGTTTGAAATATCCAATAAATTTCGTTCCACTTAATGTTTGTGTCCCACTTGTTGATTCTTCTCAGAAAATTAAATTTTTATGTGTTTATGTTTGGAGCCTGAAATGTGGCAAGAGGTCTAAAGTTTAAGTTTAAGGGCACTAAATGCTTTTGCACAGCACTGTATCTCATATTGGTAGAGGCTGCAAAAGATGAACAGAGGTTCACTTTCCAGTAGGAAAACAACCAAATAAAATCACAGATCTGACTAATACAAATCAGGGGTTCCCAAACATTTCCAAACATTAAGGTCTGTGACCTTAAAAAACAGCAATGCAACTGACTGGCAACCCCCCAAAAAAGATAATTATGAATACTTCACCCTTTATTTCTACATATAAAGTTAAGAAATTAAATTCATATTCAACTATTTAACTCATTATGTGAACTATAATTATTTAAGGGGACTTTTAATGCATTTTAGTGCATTTTACAAACTAATTATATATTCAATATTTGAATAATATATGGGATAAATGCATGTTAAATGTATTTAATTGACGATTTTCACAGATGTTTGATATATTTTAGCCCTCCGTGTATCTAAAGGCTCACCCCACTCGGTGTCTCGTCACCCCGATAAGTCCTACTCCCACTTTGGGAACCTCTGTTTTAAAACTATTTATATTTAAACATTTTATAAACGTTCAAAGTCAAGATAACAATCTGTGACAAGAATAGAAATGGATTGGCAAAAATCAATACAGACTCTAAGAGCTAACTATGAATAAGGGCCTTCAGATTTTTATCTGTAAAAAAAAAAAGGCATCAGCTATGGAATAAATCCCAAAGTGACAAAATGCGAAAAAGCTCCATGAGTGTAAAAACTTTGCAGAGTACTGTCAAATAAAGTCAAATAAAAAATGTCCAACCTGCACATATCCCCACTATGAACCTGGCCACAATGATGATCTCATAGGACTTGGCGATCTCACTAACCCCCATCATGATCGCCGGGACGATGGAGAAGATGTTGTTGAAGAGAAGGGTGCCCTTTCTGTTGGAAGATGAAAGCAGATTTAAAACACTCTCTGCAGATGGATACAGAGTTGGCACGCTCGCTGTGAAGAAGTTTTCACCTGCCCAGCTTGTTAACCAGAGGAGCCACCATCAGAGATCCAAAGAAGCCTCCCAGAGGGTACATGGACACAGACACTGACCACAGGAGGGTCAAGAGGTTGTCCCCCATCGGTTCATCGTAACGATCTGTGTAGGTTTCGTTATAAAACTCCTGCATGAACTGCAAAGAAGCAGACAAGACCGAATGATGTGTCTCTAATAAACTCTAAGCATGAATGACTGCTAGAGGGAAAAAAACAAAAATAATTTACTGGTGCTGGAGAGTTGATCACAGCCACATTATACCCATACTGGAAGGATGAACCAAACGCAGAGATGAGAGTGGCCAGTGCCAGAACTGGTGTTAGTTTCTAATGTGGAGGACAAAAAGAGACTTCTTTCACAAACATCATCCATATTAGTTATTTACACCCCAACCAGACTAAACCCTGATGGTTAACTCACCCCTCTCCGTTCCACAGACTTCTCCAGCTCCTTACTCTCCTCCATGGCTGCGATTAGAGTTATTGTCACTTTCTGCAATCATAACTGTGTTTTGTTATTGCTGCAGCGCTCGCTCGCCCTTTGGACATGGGATCAGAGAGCGCAGTGAAGGTTTACAGCTGATTATTACTCCCAGGCTGCTGACATAGCTGTCATGCAGGGAAGTTATTTCAGTTTTATGGAATGGACATGAGATATATTGAATAATAGACTTGACTTGGTGTAGATATGCAAGCAGTGTCTTGCAAAAGTGCTCATACCACATTAAAACCACAAAGTTTTTTTTTGTTGTAATGTTAATGTCTGTAAACATCAGTTTTCCAGAAATACCATGATCTAGGTTGGATTTATATGCATTGGTCTATTTCTTCCTCTTGTAACTTCTCCAGCTGTTATTGTCATTACACTGTCACAAGTACCAAGCAATGAACAGAACTCTCTGGATTTGAACCATACCCTTCGGGAGCAGTGGGCTGCCATTGTGCAGTGCCCGGGGAGCAATGTGGGGTTAAAGGTCTTTTGCTTAGGGACTCAGAGTGGCAGTCTGTGGGAGTGGGGCTTGAACTAAGAACCTCTTGGATCCAAGCACAGTGCTGTAACCACCAGGCCACTACTCCCTAAACTTTAGGGCTGTTAGAAGGCGAAACCTCAGTTTGAAGACTCATGCAGCCTCTGATAGCCTTTTCCACCAGTGTTGTCTTGTCTTGAGCTCAATATACGTTTCTATCAACCCCCAAAGCAACTCCACAACATGATGCTTGCACCACCGTGTTTCCCTGTAGGATGGAGTGCAGAGTAAAAAGTGAAGCACTAGTTTTCTTCCTCAAAGAAGTAGGAACGATTGTTGAATTTTAGTCAGACCTCACTGGAGCTCCTTCTTAGTCGTACTTGCAGGGTCTGCAACATGGAAGGTGCAAAATGTAAACAGGATTTTCATGGTTTTCATTCAACACCAGCCTTCTACCTTTCTAAAAAGGCCAATCTCATGGAATGTGTTGTTAATGCCTGATCTGATCTGATCTGGAGCTTCCATAAAGTTACCGTACGCCTCTTGGCAGCTTCTCCAATGAATGCTAACAGCGTCCAGCCTATCAGTTAACACAGAAGACCATATATTGGTAATTCTGCAGTTGTGCAAATGTCTGTCCCTTTCCGGATATTTCCAGATTTGATCAGTAACATATTGTTTAACCTATCTCTTCCTCATATCTCTCTGAAGCTCTCCCCTCAGCCTGTCTGCTGTAATCCTTGGTCTTTATGAAGCTGTTGGTTCTGTAAGGAAACTCTGAGGCCTTCACGGAACTGCTGGGCTTGCCCAATTAGAAAACGGGCTGCACCTGGTGAAGGGATTTTTTTCAGGGCAAGTAGTCGCATGTGATTTATCAAGGGGGTTTAAAATCAAGGGGACTGAACACAAATGCTTTTCACACTTTTCAGTTCTTTGGACATAACATTTCTCATGCACTGAAGATTGTTGTGGAAACGTGACAAAATCCCTCTGTAACTATCACACCGCAACACTGCCTGAATTGATTAAACCAATAAGAGAGATTGCTGGCCATAAAAGGTAAATGATAAGGATAAGGCGACTTTACTACTTTTATAAAAGGAATTACAAGACTTTAAAGCTACAGTGTGTAATAATTACAGGCATATAAATTCAGAAATTTAATATATTATACATAACTATGTTATTTATCATCACCTATGAGCTCAGCCTTTTAACCATAACATTTGCGTTGCCTTAGAATTCGTTATTTATAATTACATAGGAGCGGGTCTCGCAGCCATGGAGGCTGACATCTTTGCGCTACGGCAGCGCAGAGGCAACAAACTAGCGATTGCGAGATCTCCCATGACGCTCGAAAATAACTACGGCAAGTTGAGAGAGATGAACTGAGACGGTACTGAACAGTAGATGGCAGTATTATGCCTGAGAAGCGTTTAGTCTGCCTGAAACCAAAGAAGAAGAAGAAGCAGGTATACTGCGCCTCGGTAACAAGAAAGGTAAACAAGGCGGCAGGCGTGAGTGACTTTGCAAACTGTTTGGCACTGTGTGGCCAAACATCAGACGAATGGAGGATCATGCCTACTCTGTATCACAACGAAAAGCGGCGGACACCGAACCCCCGTCATCTAAGAAGCGGAAACACGACGAGAATAAACGCAAGAGTGACAAGAAACGACAAAAAACACGGATCAACATTGGCACGGCATTTACACGATGGAAGTCACTGATGGAGGAAAAAGGTTTTCAAAGTGACGCTCAAGTTGCCAGTTTTCTCTTGGACAGGTAATTAATCCTATACACACAATTGTCTAATATCACTGCAGTTTTTGGAGTACAGGATGCTCAGACCTGTCTAAAACAATAACATGCTGCGTGATGATGCTGTTACTCTCCAGTATACTTATTCAGCAACGTCCCTGACGTTTCACAGGTAATGATTCAGTAATTTTCTGTAAAATAATTTTCTGGATATATACCTCGGTTACTTCTCTCCGGCTCCTTTGGAGATCTTCAAGCCTTTCCTCCTCTGCTCTCACCCCGCTGGCTCTCCTCTCTCGCCTGGCCCCAGCTGCACGCTCACCCCGGCCTCTCTGCCCTCTTCCTTTCCCTCTTCCTTGCCTTGTAACCCCCGTGCCACAAACAAGACTTGGACTCTGTAAACGGGGAATATATATTCTTCCAGCGAACACAATCTCGCTGTTAAACTAATGACTACAATTCCTTCGTCTGTTTATATCACCATGCAAAGCAGCTCACCAAAACGTCACAACGACGTAGAAAAAATAACGGGTATATTTATTATCTTAAGTCTACATGAAATCTATACCCTACACAGACTAATGAAATACTATCTGTAAAATTATCTATGTAAACAAACCTCATCACTTGAGAAGGTAGGTGATGCGGACGTCGTGGAAGACATTTTGTCCCGTAACGCTCGCCGTACTGTTGGGGGGGAGAAGCGGTGGGGGGGAGACGTTCATGTTGCTGCAGTCTGCAGTCTGACCGCTAGATGTCGCTGAAAATTACACACTGTAGCTTTAAAATAGGAATCCGTTGCCAGAACCGTCACTCCAGTTTATAGGATTTATCTGCCTTTATGTCATAATGAATAAGCTTCAAAGAGGGACCTTTTGCAGGAACAGAAATGGTGGATTTTTCTTTTTCTGTTGACTCTGTCTGCAACAGTTCACGTAGATATTACCTCCAAAACTGAGCATGCTTGTCCATAGAGGGTCCCTAAATCTGTTTGCTCTTCGAGCTGGAAGTCTTTTGTTTTAGGGATCTAAAAATAGATATGATTTTAGAGCCGAGCAAAGATGAAGTGTTAAGAATAGTTTGCTACATCTAAAACAAAGGTCCACTTCGTTAAGCCTCTCTCTAGTTTCACTGGTTTCTCTATTGTCTCACTTTATCATTTCAATAGGAACATACGGCAACATTTTCAGTATCACTCTTTCAACAGCTTGATGTGAAGATGTGAACTCTTACTAAAGATTTGTGAAAGACAAAGAGCACTTACTTTGTGGGTTTAATAGGTTACTTCTTGATTACTTAACAGGACTCACAAACTGTTTCCAGCTCTAAGAATCATGCAAAGAAAGTTGTTCTCTTACTGGAAAAAAACAGCTTCTTTCTGCCTACAGGAGTAAAATAGCAATGCATCTCTCCTTTCTACATTGTACACAATGCCTGTTTAGATAAATAATATAAAATAAAGTTTCTTGCATTCATAATGCTGGATGAGGAGGGGTAATATGAAATAATCACCAAAATGTAGATTAAAAAAGTATTTTTTAATCTTAAATACAAAATTTTTATTTTTTTTTAAACAACTTTGATATAATTACTGCTCTAAGTGGGTTGCTCTGTCAGCTAAAGGCATGTTTTACAGTCTCTATACTCAAGTTAACGATTAATCGATTACTATAAGAGTTGACAATTATTTTAAAAAATCCACTAATCACTGTTAATCCAATTAATTGTTTAAGCCCTAATCTCAAATGTTAAACATAAGAATATGTGATTCTACTGGCTGTAGTTTAAAGACTTTTCTATCAACCTTTTTTTTTTCCCCTCAGCTCTCTCATTAATTACCAAGATTGGAATTTTGGTCCTAAAAGCTCAGATTGTTTTAATTTTTTCTCTGTTTTTCTTCTCTTTACATGGTCTTAAGAGTTTGAACTAATTTTAAGAGCCACTGAAATATTTGATTTAGATCTTTTTAATATTTATGTCTATTTCTAATTTCTCTTTTTATATATTATTTTTCAACTTTAATGTAAATGGTTTAATGATTCTCTACTCTCTCTGTGAAGCACATTTTTCTGTTTTTAAATTTAAAAAGTCTTATATGAACCAAGGTATTTAATAAAAGTGTGTCAGTGGAGCTCCTCTATTATCCTAATTGTATGTTGACAGCAAACTTTACTAGTGATCAGTCAAAGAATAAAGTGAAGAAAGCTGTAAGAGCTGCAGTGTGAAATTTTCTGCTGTGGTTGCAATAACTTTTAGGGACAGGAGGTAGCGCTGATGTGCAGGACAGCGTCACATGATTCAGAGAAGGAGGATGTCACATGCTTGTTTTGCTCAAATATAAGTTTTCCTGGGACCTTAAAACCTTTAGATACAAAGCTGATCTTCTATTTGTTACATTTCTTTCTATTTTGTGTGTTGAACAGTGAATTTGAGAATTTGCTCCTACAACAACAAAATCAGCTTAATGAACAGCTCATGTTGAGTAAAAAAATAAATGAGTCCCTCCATAGAGAGCGGTCCCCACATCACCACATTTCAAAGGTACCCTGGACCTAATGAATTAACCGGGCAGAGAGCCAGCAGAGAAGATAGAGCACAAACTTCTTCCTTGAAGGGTTTCCACCAGCTCGAGGTTTTTCAATGTCAGCCAAATCACACAATGGATTAATTCCTGCAGGAAATACAGAGAGAGTGGGCCTTCTCTGTGTGCCCTGCTGCTCACAAGGACAAAGAAAGTTACAGCGGCCTGAAAAAATATTCATACCCCTTGGATTTTTGACATTATTGCATGTATTGCATCTATCTATCTATCTATCTATCTATCTATCTATCTATCTATCTATCTATCTATCTATCTATCTATCTATCTATCTATCTATCTATCTATCTATCTATCTATCTATCTATCTATCTATCTATCTATCTATCTATCTATCTATCTATCTATCTATCTATCTATCTATCTATCTATCTATCTATCTATCTATCTATCTATCTATCTATCTATCTATCTATCTATCTATCTATCTATCTATCTATCTATCTATCTATCTATCTATCTATCTATCTATCTATCTATCTATCTATCTATCTATCTATCTATCTATCTATCTATCTATCTATCTATCTATCTATCTATCTATCTATCTATCTATCTATCTATCTATCTATCTATCTATCTATCTATCTATCATCTATCTATCTATCTATCTATCTATCTATCTATCTATCTATCTATCTATCTATCTATCTATCTATCTATCTATCTATCTATCTATCTATCTATCTATCTATCTATCTATCTATCTATCTATCTATCTATCTATCTATCTATCTATCTATCTATCTATCTATCTATCTATCTATCTATCTATCTATCTATCTAGAGGATGCACATGTTACCTTGGCTGTGTGCATAATACAAAGGGGTTCTGGCACATTTGCAACAATGTGCGTCAAAGAGTTCATTGGTAAAACTTTTTTGCAGCTTGCAATTTTAAAACGTGTGACAGGCTCAGACAATGCTCTTGTGACAAGAGACCAAAGCTGCACCTTCTAAACTGCATGCTGTCTAACCCCGTTCAGCTCCCTCAAACATCATCCACACATAGAAACATGGTAGAGACAGCATTATGCTGTGCGCCTGAATAATTTCGCTATAGATACATACTCGGTCTTAGAGTTACTAAAATTAGTGTCAAGCAAGGAGATACACCTTTTAAACAAACTACATACCTTGAGCCAGAGAGGTTTAAAACAAACTATACAGACGAGTTAGAACGGTCAGTCATTGTCCAAATGTGACGTCTCCTGGAGAATCTGTTGCAGGACTTTCATTGCTCACATATACTTTCCCCAAAGGATTAATTTATTGCTCTAGATTTTATTTAAGGGGATCGGAATATCATTTTCTTGCCACTTTATAGTCACTAATGCTCTAGTCTTTGTTGGTCTATCATGTGTTAGGACTGCTGCAGTGAGGCAGTGCAGACTCAACATTCACACAGTCAGTTTTCCCATACTCGCTCTGTTCTCATTACTCCTATATTCCCAGCAATAGAGGATGAACTGTGCTCTCTGTCACATTACTCCAACTAAAAGTTGAACTGCTTGTTTTAATAAGATCAACGTAAACATCGGACACCGGATTAATGTATGGGAACCACATATTGTAAGATCACAACTGTTAAGTGTGTCAGCTTTGAGACTGAATAAAATTCACACATGCAGCAATATGATGCGTTAGTTTAAAGTACCACAGGTTTTTGAAGCTAACTGAGCTACAGCAGCTTTGGGTACAGAAAGCTGGCTTAAATTTCTTGAAACATGCTTTGTTTACCTCTGTTTCTTTGCCTGGTTTAACTCAACCGCTCCATTCTGTGTGGCAAAGAAATTTCCTCTTATGCTTGCCTAAAATGTGTGTCCTTCCACACAGCTGCATGTCATATATAGGGTACGTTCCTGTGCTATTTTCTTTCTCAGGCGGTGGCGTCATGAGGAGGCATCAGAGAGGGGTCATCACCAGCCTCTGACTTAAAGAAAAGCAAATCTCCTGCAGTACCCAAACAGCCAGATTTAGAAATAGCTGTTATGGTTATAAGTAAGGTCACTGGTCTGATCTGTGCTTGTTTTCTCAAGTTTATGCCCTCCTATGAATTTTTTCTGGTTTATTCATGTCCAGCAGACAGGAGTGTCCAGAAGCAGGGGTCAAGCAAGACATTTAGGGTCACGAGCGCAGCTCAGGTTGCAAGGAGGAAGGATGACATGTGATGGTCGTTCATGCTTCGCCTGACCGCGATGACAGCAGTGATGAAGGTGACGCATCACAATAAGGCCGTTTGTTACCAAAATCTGTTGCAACCTAACAGTTGCACAACAGGATATTAGTTTAAAAGAAATGAAAACCAGCAAACCTATGGTGCAAAACAGTTTTAAAACATTTAAGTTTGAGCTGATGAGTTGACTGAAATATTCTGAAAGCCTTTTAAATAAAAATGATGATCTGATAAAATTATAGAACAGATGTTCACATTTTCTTGGTTAAACTAATACAGACACATTATCAGCATCTTAGGACTGCAGTAAGTTTGGCTAAAATACAAACTAAAATGACTGCGTCTGCTTCTGTTTCAGTATTTAATGCCACGTTATTCGTTATCTATGATTGGCTGTTTTTAGGTATATTTCAGTAGCTTTTTTCCATATTGGTAAAGAGAAGCAAAAATCTTTCAAATAAATTCATTTGTAATTATTAATCGATTAGGTTTTGAATTGGTGAGGAGAATAATAATAATTCTTCAGATTTTTTTAATTATTGAAAAATTTATTTTTTGCAAACCATGTACCTATTTGATTATTTCATCTTACGCTCTTATAACATTCATAAGTTGATCAAAAACAAGATCTGTGACCAAATCTTTCCACGTTACTCAGATTCTTGGGTCGGGTCTTATCTTGTCAGCTGACTGGTTTCTATCAGGTTAAGGTCCGTTAGGATAAGGATGAGTTTGTTTGCTAAATGCTTCTTTTAAGGCATTTGTCCTGTTACTTGTACCTGTGTGTGTGAAAGCTTGTTTTTATTCTGACATGCAATTGTTTTTATTACCATGTAAAGCACTTTGTTTTCTCCATGGCATGAAAAGTGCTTCATAAATAAAGTTTCATGTAATTCTTTGGTAATTAAACTTACTTTTTGTTTATAGCGAGGAGAAAAAATGATTCAATATCAGTTTTTCTAATTGAGTCTGCCCATCTTCTATTTTTGAATTTTGGGGATTTCTAAATGGGTTATGAATCCTGCTCTCTAAAGGGATGTAAAAAAAAAACGGTTCACAGCCTCACAGACCTCTTGTGTACAGTACATCACAGTAAAAAAACAAAGTGTGTGTTTTATTTTTTTATTTTATTTTTTAACAGGTTCATATTTGCCTGGGGTTTCGATTGTCAAAAAAACCCTATCTGACCAAACCCTATGTTTATATCTGTGATGGTGGAGGGCATCACATGGCTTATTTGCACGGATATTGTGTCAAATTGTTGTTATGGAGATGTCGGGACCTCAATTTAAAGGTATATTGGAGGATGTTCTTTTTCCGGGTGGATCACCAAAATAATAAGTCCTCCTAATTGTCAATCATTTTGGTGATATGTTTACATAAGCCCATCCTACGTGGTAGCCCCCATTTTCACGTACTGGTGATGAGTCTGACATTGAAGAAAAATTGCAAATCTTCTTTTGGAAAGTAAGCTTGTATGAGTGATGCAAAGAGCAACTTTTAAACAGAGCGTGCACGAGGAGAAATGGGCTCGTGCACGCTCTCATGCATTTAATAAGCGTTCCCTGTCGGAAGCAGGTACAGGGCTGTGCATGTGCGTTTTTTTTCCAAGTTGAGAGGGCGAGGCTTTTCAAAAAAATCGAAAAAACTCCTCCACTACACATTTAAGGAATTTGAGCTTTAGACAATTTCTTTTACCCCCCTTCATTCCTTGTGTCTTACAGCTCCAGCCGTCCATGAAACAGTATCGGTCGATTTAATGTTTGGAGTCATTACCAGATTTAAGAAAATGAGCTGACTAGAATTTCATGTTTTCTTCTGTCCCAACAAAAAGATCATACAGAGAAATGCCTTCTGACAAAGATAATCTCGAGCCCCTTAGGGAAACAATAAAATTGATCAACCATATGAAATGGTTTCAGGTAAATTTTATTACAACCAAACATATTTTAAAATGACTGCATCTCTGGTGATGTAAAAAAAACTTAATCAAATTACATTAATTAATTAAAGGTAAGGGTATTGTACTATTTTAAATAAGCATGAAAGGCACTGGAAATTCAAAACATTTGTTTTTTGGGTGGGGGAAAAAAATGAAACAGAGAGAAAGAAGTATGTCTAACAACACAGTGATGGAAACAGAGAAGGAATTAGCAGAAAATGCTTAAACACTATAAGTGGAGTTGTTAGCGCTGTTACCTTGCAGCATTAATGCCTTAGACTCATTCTGCATGGAGAATGCATCTGACCTGAGATTAGATACTCCACCTTCCTCCCACAGTCAAAATACACGACAGCGGAGCTTTGTCAACTAGACCAGTTTAGCCTAAATTCATCAGACTAAAACTATGCAAAGAAAAACATACAGACAAGATCTAAAAACTAACATAGTCCCTCATATGGAGTAAAAGCTTACTTGTTTTTCGTATGAGGCAACTGCAATTCACACTGTGCACATAGAGGAAATGAGTGAGGATGTCAAATTGGCCGGAGAAAAAAAAATAAGATGGAGAAAAAAAAATGAAATCCTAAAATATTCAGCAGTTTAAATCTGTTGAAAAGTTATGAAACATTAAACATTTAATCTCCTCTAAGTTTCCAAAGGCTTACAGTGTGTCGGTAAACTAGGACAATATCTGTTAAAACCCCCTTAAGGATGAGATATTTTTATCATCATATTCAGTTAAACCATGCTAAAAAAGAAAAAGAAAAAATCTCACATACACCCAACACTAACCAGCATGGAAGTACAGTACTGGAATAAGACCTTTTTAAAAAAGAGGAAACAGCATTTTCTCTGAATTGTTCAGCTAAATTTGAGCAAACCACATTGGTGTTAAACCTTTCAAAGTCTGCAACTTTAACAGTTTGGAAATGTTAGTTTAAAAGAAAACGTTTACAGGCGTCACATACATGCGTTTTCCTCTAAGCAGAATTTAATTGCTCGCCTGTTGCTTCACAGTGGTAACTTACAGTAGTTACAGTACATGATAGAGGTGCTACAGTAAGCTGTCCTTTATTTGATGTAACAGAATCAAACAACATAATAGAAGAACCAAAAAGTGAAACAGTACTCCAAGTTGTCATCAAGTATCAGTGTACTTTAGGTAATATAAGCCCAAAAAGTGGGAGTACGGAACAAACGCCAGCAGTGTTCAACAGCTTCAGAGCAAAGCATCATCTGACTGCCTGCGCACGACTGCCGTTTTCTTCTTCTTCTCTCTGTGTGGAAGAGTCCCGCCTCGTCTTGTTGCGCTGTGGGGCACCGTCGGAGCGCGGTGCCTCTTCTCGACATTTAGCGCAGCAGCAGCAGAGCGCAGTGCAGAGGCGAGAGCGGATGGGCTGGGTAAACAACACAAACATCACGCAGTTGGCCGCTCCCTGCGACGTGTTGCCGATACCCTGATGGGACACAAATAGGCAGATAGTAAAAAAAGTTTCTTCCTGAGCGGAAACCCCATTTTAACAATCCTACAACAAACAATGACAATGCATTTGGTCAAAACTGTTTACACACTAATACTTCTAATTATTATGTGCTATAATTTTGGCTGATTTTTTAAGCCTCTATTTGACATAGCTGGTAGAGTTAATTTGAAGTTTTTGATGTCCTGTCAGATAGGTTAGTTCACAAGATTGAGGTCAAAGCTATTCTAAAAGCTTCATATAAACTTGCTTAATTAAACCCCCCAAAAGTGTAGCCTATCATAAATAAATAAGCTCAGTAGCGGAAAGCTAAAATCTGTTCTCTGATTGGATGTTCAATTTCTGACTGGCATGACGTTGACCTATCAGCTGAAAGAAGGTAATGGAAACCGAATATGCACATAGTGTTTTGCTTTGTATTTGCTTAAATCCTTTATGAATTAAATCGTAGCTTGCTTAAATATTGCGAAAACTTTGCTTGCATTCAAAAACAGGTCTTGTTGATCAATGCAGCATCAAATATTTTAGGATAGGAAAAATCCTAAAGGGGGGTTTCTTTATTTACCAGATATAGGTCATTTTAAGATTCGCTATGCATACTGCATGCTTCAGGGCAGCTTGGATGCTCGGGGTTTCTTTCACCACCAGTAGAAGTGGTGCAGAGCAACTTCCTGAATGAGATCTGACCAAATGTAAGTTGATGTTTGAGCATATATGTATATTGTTTGGTCTTTGCTGATCAAAGAGAATCCACACTCATTTTTTACTTTGGTTCTTTTAAACAACTCCTCATTTAATCCTGGAAAAAGAGATATCAAATTACAATGACAAAAATAGTTTCATGATGAGTCTTTAGTGAATGTCTTCTGTTGGGTCTAGAATGGGTTCGTACCGGAGACTGATTCAATCCTAAAACCGCTTCACTTTAGAACCGTTTCTTTCTTTAGAAAAGAAAAAAAGTAGTATGATGGTGTAATGACTCATAGGTTTAATCACATCCTCTTTTACACTCACAAGTTTAACAGCACATCAACTAAACTCACGTGAAGAGTGACCAACACAGGGTTCTGTCTGACCGGAGAGTCAGCCAGCAGCAGGATGAAGCGCACCGTGCTCCAAATGCGCAGGATGATGAATATGATGGGGATGAGAGTTAGCTTCACATCTGCCATGGATGAGAAAGACTGCGACGGGGGCCTGTTGGCCAGGATGGGCCGGTACTCTGACAGGGCAGCATGCTGCGTCAAACAGAGGACAGAGATTATTTACAGAAGCAAAGCAATTGAAAGAGGATGTAACGCACCATCCGCAACAATGGATAATTTTTCATGACACAGCGTCAGACAAGTGTGATCTATGATTTTAAAGAGGATTACAGAGTTCATTCAAATTTAGATTAACTGAAAGATGTGTCACACATCTTAAATGAGAGACCACAGCTATTTTTCTTAACATTTTTCCCTCTTCCTCCCTCTGAGGGATGAAGAACCTAATATTCATGTTAAAGAAAAAATAGAATAATTTGAGGTTTATATAATAAACTCTTAGACCAACCATTTGAAAGAGTCATCCTGCCATTACAGAAAAATACCATACATCATATCTGATATAATTGGCCCAATAACAATTTATTAACAAACCTCATGAATATTCAGAGAGCAAATCTGACAGATTGGTATTTAAAGCCTGACATTGAAGGGACACTGCTCAGGCTAGGTCTGTCCATTATTCAGAGACACTTCACCATAGTCACTTAAATCTTACTTTAGACTGGTAAAGGTTTCAAATGACCTATTTGGAAACTGCATTTGGTCAACAATCTTTCTCTTATAAAGTAACAAGGCTTTGGGAAAACTCTTCCAAATGAAATTATTTCATGCACAGTCTATAGTATGTTTACACACCTGACCAAACAGTGATTATCAAAGCAAACATGTACGCATTGAATGGCTGAAATATGAGCGCTGTAAACTGTGAGTGAGTGAGAGTGGAAAGTGCTTTCATGATTAGAATGAAGTGATGTTTACGTGTATTATTTTGTATATATTTTATGAATTTCTGTAAGTATAACATCAGCATGTCCAGGGACTGTGGGTTGAAATTTGTATTTTTGCTATAACCTAGCTCATGACATCTCTTCTCTTTTTGATAAATGTTATTTGTGGCAGAAATTATCTGATCAAATAAAGAGAAATTAAAATGATTTACTGTTAACTATGCAGAATGAGTCTGAAACAGGACAGCAAGGAGTGATGGGCAAACTGATGGCTTAATGGACGGCTGAATAAATGAACTGCTTGATAACCAGATGGAGAAATGAATGGATGAATAGAAAGATGCTAGACTGATGTATGAATGCATGAACACAGACTGTAGATGGACAGATTGATAGTAGATGTGCAACAATTAACATTTCAATTGCATATGCAAAATAAAAATAGTCTGCATTAGCATCTTTATTTCTAAATTCACAAGACAGTTTAGTTTTATATTAGAAGGTGCTTTTTTATTTCATTTATTTCGTTTACTTTGGGTGTCTGTTGTCTTCTTTTTGCTGTTTATTTATTGTTTACTCTTTTTCTCATCCCATGCAGGCATGGAAGCAGACTTCCAGGAGTTACTGTTTATATTCTGTGTCTCGTTCTCTCTCCCCTTAGTTCTTTTCCCTTCATTCTTTTTCATATCCCTTTCTGTTACCATGACTACTGTATATGATTTTACTCCCTAAATCATTTACAATAAAGTTTCAAATAAAAGTATCAAGTGGAACCTTATGGCAAAAACCTCTGCTTGTGAAAGCAAATTTGCTGGGCTATCATCTAGCTCTGGAAAACCAATTCCTAAAATAAATAAAAAAAAGTAAAGGTAGTTTGGTTAAAGTTGTACGTTATGCTTTTTCAGAGTTAGGGGTATAGAAATTTTTTTTTTTTTAGCCGTGTGTTTTTGGGTCATTATCCTGTTGCAAGACCTGTGTCTGAGATAAAGCTTCTCTCTAAGATCCCTTGAAAGTTTAGATATTTCATTTGATCCTGTGGAATTTCAAGACATCCTGTGCCAAATGAAGCAGAACAGACCTGCAAAATAACAGTGCCTCCTCCATCTTTCACAATAGGGAGTGTGATCTTTTAATGATATGCTTTTTTTTTTCTCATAGGACATTTTTTCCAGAAGCTTGGTGGCTTTTAAAATGTAGTTAAGCATTTTGTCTGGCTTTTTATGATTTGTTTTAAAACCTCCTTGGTCGTCTCCCCTTAAGCACACTTTGGATCAAACAATAACAGATGGTGCGATTCTGAAACTGATGTTCTTTGAGCTTGAAGTTCACCTTTGATCTCTTTAAAAGTTTTTCTGGGCTATTTTGTTACCCTTTGTATTACCAGTCTCTTTGTCACAATTTTTTCTACTGCAACCTATAGTCCCATGGATCTTATACAGTATTTCTGAAAAATGTGTGCAACTATAGTCCCACAAACATCAAGCTGCTTGGAGATGATGTAAGCGAGAGCATCTCCCCCACTACGTGACATCCCTGCAACAGAGATTTCGTAATATACAGTGAAACTTAAATATTAGTTGTTTTCCAGTGCCAAGGCTGAAAAAAGTCTTAGACATCTCACAGACAACAAATACTGTTGCTGTGCAGATTAGGTGCTAACAGAGTCGCTTTGTCTCAACTTATAGCAGAATGACCCTGCAGTGTGTTGTGGGTGAGCTGTTTACTGGGCAGGCACAGCATGGTCAAGGCTATCTGCCCCATCTTCCAAGGAATCACTTCTCTACATTAACCTGTCATGGCCACTTGTTCTGCAGGACAGGGCTGCTGCTCACAGAACACAATTCATGAGGATTACTCAGACATGAATAAATCAAGCGAAATACCACTTTGAGCATGATTTTGATGAAGTAATAGCATTATAAAATGGTTAAAAGCTTTAAAAAGTCTATATTTTCCATGATATAGGCCCTTTTATAATATATCTCTATTCATTATAATTGCTCAGACAGCACATCTTATATATTCTTGATGGACCTGAAAAGTTGGTAATCCCCTGAGCTCAGTTTAAGCAGAGAAATGTGTGCAGACATTAGCTGACAGAAAGGCCTCTCACCGCTTTATGGATATGCCTCTTGATTAAGATGTAGAGCACAGGGAGGGTGAGGTAGGCCAGGAACTCCCAGATCTTTCCAGTCAGCAGCATCCACAGGACGCGATCCGGAGCGTGGATCCTGACCCAGCACCAGCCCACAGACACCTCTGATGCATCATAGCCGATTTTGTTGAGACACACAGCCGTGACAGTGATGATTAGTGGAATACCCCAGCTACAGAAAAAAAGAAAGAAAAAAAAGACGGTTTTAATATTCAGTGTTAATTCTCTAAAAAGTTTCCCCTATGTGTAGATTTCATTTGTGAATCCTTCAAGGTAAAAAGATGCTACAAGACACGATGAAAAATTATTTCTTTTGCATTCAAATATAAATACGTATATTGTAAATATATATTCGAGTAAAGATATTTTGCACATACATCATTTAAGCAGTTTTTTAAAGCTACAGTGTGTAATTTTCAGCGACATCTAACGTCCAGACTGCAGACCGCAGCAACATGAACATCCCCCCCCACCGCTTCTCCCCCCCAACAGTACGGCGAGCGTTACGGGACAAAATGTCTTCCACGACATCCGCATCACCTACCTTCTCAAGTGATGAGGTTTGTTTACATAGATAATTTTACAGATAGTATTCTCAGGCATAATACTGCCATCCATTGTTCAGTACCGTCTCAGTTCATCTCTCTCAACTTGCCGTAGTTACTTTCGAGCATAATGGGCGATCTCGCAATCGCTAGTTTGTTGGCTCTGCACTGCCGTAGCGCAAAGATGTCTGCCTCCATGGCTGCGAGACCCGCTCCTATGTAATTATAAATAACGAATTCTAAGGCAACGCAAATATTAAGGTTAAGAGGCTGAGCTCGTTGATGATGATAAATAACATAGTTATGTATAATATATTACATTTCTGACTGTATATCCCTGTAATTATTACACACTGTAGCTTTAAGTTTAGTTTTTTACTTATTTGTGTTTTGTTTTGCTTGTTCTTTTACTGTCTATTCTGTTAATGTAGAAAGAGCTCCTGATTTATTTTCCTTCATAAAACCCCAAAATGTTTTCCACCTTCTGAAAAAAGTTTACCATTTTCAACTCAAGCATGATCTCTTCTCTTGAACCAATTTATCACAAATAAACTTCACTTTATCATGAAAATAAAGGGAAGTTATTACATATAAAGAAACGCTTTAGGCCTAGCTGTGTGCCTGTGTGTGAAAACAAATTAAGACTCCCACGTATGCAGGGAGGCGTCTTTAGAAAAATCTACTTCCTCCTTATATTCTCAAAATTACACAGGCCATTAATGCTGAAAAGACTTGCACGGTGGGGGAAATGTTCATCAGAAGCTGAACTACGGCATTCTGAATAAACTCCAGTTGATAAAAGAAATATTTTCTCATCCTTTTTTGCTAGTTTGTTTACAGCTATTCATTTCCATTATAAATGATATAAACAATAATCTATACCTCTAAAGACACCCTTTTTTGATAGCTTATCAAAATAAACCGTTAAAAATAAATATTTTTGCACAGATTCCTGAGGCTAATTCCTTCTTTGAATAAAAAAGACAAACGTATTACTTAAGAAAATAAAGAAATAAGTACCAGAAACATTGCTATTAATATTATATACTGTCTAGTAAAAAGTTTTCGTGTTTTTGCTTCTTCTTTTGAACGTGTAGGACGACATTCTGCCATGAATTGTAAATAGAGGAAAATAGAGGTAGCACTAGCATGGGCTGCAGATCAGTGATGGGCTGAGGTTTTAATAAATATTTTGCAATCAGGCAAGTTGTACTTAAAGGTATAGAGGAAAATATTTTATTTCAGGGTGGGTCATCTAAATAAGTGGTCCTCCTAATTGTCCATCATTCTGGTGATATGTTTACATAAGGCTGTCCTACCTGCTCGTCCAATTAGCTATCTTTTTCTGTGCATGCGCACTTTCAGGCGTATATTTGTGTGGTGAGTTATGGTTTCAGACAGTCATTGAAGTTCACCTTTCTCACTGCGGTTCTTTGAAATTGGCCAAGGGTCGTAAGAGAAAAAGTGTGTATGAAGTGTATGCGAAGAAAAGAAAGGCCTCAGAAGAGGAAGATATATCCCGGAATGCTTTACGCAGAGAGCTCTCCTCGCAATGCATTGTGGGATTTGCTGTCACAGCGGCCGTCTGTCACCATAGGCTGTCGCTACCCGACATCGGACACTAATAACAAAGATGCCGCGGGCACCACTCAGTGGAAGAGGAGTTACATGACTAAAGGGATAAGTGATCATCTGTCTGAACAGTCAGTTATTTGAGTTCTCTATAAAGTCCACTATATAGTCCCCGCTCTATATAGTGATTGAGGGATTTAGGGGTTAGGGCGGATGTTCGGGCACAGTAAGCTCGTACGGGCTATGAGAACAGAAACACCAGGAGAAATGGGCTTGTGCATGCTCTTGCGTGCGATTAATAGGCGTTCCCTCTCAGGAGCGGGTACAGGGTTGTGCATGTGCATTTTTTTTTTTAAATAGAGGGCAGGTTCTTTAAAAAAAATTGCGAAAATCCTCCACAATGCCTTTAAAGGAGATGTTGATAGGGAAACGTGATTCTAATGGGACGGTTGCAGCGGAAACAGCTGATCTGTAATGTGAGGCAAATATTTGTTTCATTTTATTTCACAATGTGCATTCTCTAAAAAAAAAAAAAAAAAAAAAAAAAAAAAAGGCAAAAACCAAACCAAAATTTAAAGAAAAAAAAAACTTGATTTTGAACACGTCTAGAATCAATACTCCCATCATTAACAAAGAAGACAGCGCATTTATTAAGAAGAATGGATTTGCACCGTTCAGACCAAGCTTTGACAGCTTTCCTTCGCTTTTATTTTTTTTGTTTTGACTTCTAATTTTCTACACTACTTTACTTTTGTTTTTTTTGTTTTTTTAGCTAGTTTAAATTGAATTACATGTTTTTTTTTTTTTTTTTATGCTTAGCCTCAGATTGGCTTTATTAGTTTCTGGTATAGTTTTAGTCTTTTATGTAATACGATATATATACTGGGGTAAAACTAAAATAAAAAATAAAATAATCAAAATAAAACCCAAGATAAGGACAGAGTCCATACTTTTCTGTGTTCTTCTCAAGAACATACTTGATGAGGACACGAGTCACTACTGGCGTTCTTGTGAACTGCCTCTTTGCTCCTCAACATCAGTTTGAACTGCGGAAGCCTATTTGATGAGAGGCAAAATGTCTTCTAGAAAACTTCATGTCCAGTTGTCTAAAATGAACTTGTCAGCCCCCACATCTAGAACTGCCCATGAATGTGAAGGTAGCCTATTGTAGATATTAACAGAAAAATCTATTTTATCTTCATAGATTTATTTAGAAAATGTATTTACTATGCTGTGCTCCGTCGTTTCCCAGTTACTACAGTGTAGACCAAAGGTCACGGATTAGCAGACCGCAGTCCGCATCCGGACCTACCTGCTGGCTAATCCAGACCCAACCTGATTTAAAGCATTTATAAATGGTTGCATGTTGTCCGAAGGCAATCTCCAATTTCACTATCTCCGCTTCTTCTGTTTCTACGGTAAAGCCCTTCAGCGCATCTGGGAGCAGGCTGCATGTGAAACAAATTAGCCAATGAGCTTTGTCAGTCTGGGTCACACCTGCTAGGTACTTTTAGATGAGAAAAAGAAAGCACAGAAAGTGTGGACTGCTGGAAGAACTGCAGTGAACTAGTGAAAGAGAAGTAAAATTCGTGCTCCAAGATGACCCTGCACATTTTGAGTATATTTGGCTCATCCTGCTGTGAAGCAGGATTCTCCACCATGAATATAATCAAAAATAAATATCGATCAGGCTCACAAATGAAAACCTTGATATGTGCTTGAGAATTAACAAGTGCACCATGATTTGTCGGCCACCCTGGATATCGCAGCTCCAGCTGAGGCTCCTGCGGCTCCGGCTTCAGCTTCCATCACTTCTCTGTCCACCCTCTCTCTTTCTGCCCGATCTAACTCCATTTGTCGAAGTTCATCGTCAGTGTACTCGGGTTCATAAAGATATCCCTTTGGCTCTAAGTGGAAGTCGATGTTTTCCTCGTCGCTCTCGTAGTCAGACATCTTCCCCAGTAGTAAACAATCGCGAATCAAACAGTTAGGCCCTTAACCTGACAACAGCCAGATGCATGCCTCGCTCCGCCCAGCTAGGAGCTAGGCGGAGCGAGACATGCATCTGGCTGTTGTCAGGTTAGTAGGCCCTAGCTGTCAGGTCATGGTGTCGCGCGCACTGATACGAACAGAGAGAAAATAGGACCAAGTGATAACGACGTGTGACTTTTTCCACTACAATGTTTTTGGAATGCAAAAATATCACTCTTTTGAACACATAATGTTTTGGGAAGAGAAACGTTTTATTTCGCTGGGTCTAGCAAACCTGCCGGACTACTTTCGGCTTGACCAAAGCTGGACGAGAACTCTGCTCACAGGACGCTGCCAGGGGTAAGTCAGTGTGATTGCATGACACTGGTGATGGGGATGCCATACAGATTCATGTCAAAAATCCCGAACTATCCCTTTAAGTAAATTTACAAGCCTGTACTTTGTTACTTTTACTTGAGTAAAGAAGTTTAATCAGTACTTCCACTTTTACCAGAGTATTTTTTAACACAAGTATCTGTACTTTTACTCAAGTACGGAAAGTGAGTACTTTTGCCATCTCTGGATATAACCTAACGGAATATCTTCAGAACGGCTCCAAATGAGACAAAAATAATATGGGTGAGTAGGACATGATGTAATAACGTAATTTCAAGGGCCCAATATAAAAAAGGTGTTGCCCTTTAAGCCATAAAAAAAAAAAAAAAAAAACACAGTCAGTTCAGGTGTTTCATAAAATATGTGGATCAGGAAATTATCTATTTACCAAACTGAACAATTGTTGTTCTCTACTTAAAAAAACACTTTAGATTTTTTAAATGGAAAAAAATTCTAATTTTTATTTTATTTTTTTTTTATAAAATGCATAAACACCTAATTTTATTTCAGTGTTAAATTATTTTTAAAGTAGCCTACCAGATTATAATTAAAAATGTCTCCAGACCTTAATTGGTAGTTTATTTTCTTTATTCGGACCCCGCTTATTTTCAATTGGTTACTCCTGGTGTAGACTGACCCTAAACTAGGTGATCTCTCCTTCAGTTTCTCAGTGCGCACTGGGCACCCCTATGGAACCCGCTGGCTCCGCCACTGGTTCCAGTCACACACACATACCTGAAGAGGTGGAAGAACAGCACCAGGCTGTCAGCGACCCTTTGGCTCGACCTTACAATGAAGACGTACAGGTAGACGGCGATAGAGACGGTCCAGAAGAAACTGCTGGTGTTGGCGAAAGTGGATAGGGCTCCCTGAGCGATGCATTCAGGAGAGTCTGTGCGGAAAACACTCCAGACTCCGAAAGCGTAAGAGACAGCAGACAACCAGTCAGTCACCGAGAGGAAAACAAGCAGCCTGCGCGGAGTGGTCCTCAAATCCGACCAGATAATGTGTGTGAGGATGATCAGAGAGGAGCCCAGGAAGGACAGAGCGCAGGTAAACAACACCACCACCTGCTCAGATAAATACAGCTCTGTCTGGTTCCCAGGGGCCATCGCTTACAGCCAACACCCGCAGGTTCCCCCAACCACTTTAGGGAGCAGGAGCAGCAAATCTATGCTGGATGTTATCATGATTTCTCTCAAAAGCAGTTAAGGGTTGAAACTCCCAGTCCTGACGAGGCAAACAAAAACTTTTTACGCAGCATTTAAGCCCTCCCTCCAAGCCTACAGCTGCGCCAACCCCGGAACCCAAAGCAGAAGTCACGGTCAGCTGGTGGAGGGAAGAAACAGGTTTATTTTTGTCCTTAGATTCTTTTTTTCTCTGCTAGTGTAACAGCTGTGTACGGAAGAGGATTAGGGCCACTGAAAAAAAAAAAAAAAAAAAGGTTAACTGATTTTAAAATTTTATTTCAGTTTAATATGGGGAAAAAGTCAGAATTCTGACTTTAATCCGAGAATTCTGACTTTTTTTTTTTTTTTTTTTTTTTTTTTTTTTTTTTTTTTTTACAAAGGGACACGGGTTATGCAAAGGAAAAATTGGAGATAAAAACATTTATGATATCTGAAACTATGTGAGAACCTTTGTTCATTGCTTCAAAATGTGCGTATGCTGGAGGGAATGTGGCCAAAACAGGGCAAACCACTATCATGTGTTCTGGAGCTGCTGCAGTTATTATTGGGAGATTTTTAAAAAGAATATGTATAAGAATATGACAAAGTAATAACGAAACAACTCAGTTTTGCATAAGATACATGAATATTTTCAGTCGAGTTAAATATCTGTCACAAAAAATTGTTATTAATGCAACTCCTAACAGCTGATGACTGGATTAATGAGACTTTAATCTAATCTCAGAGATTAAAGTCAGAATTCTGAGAAAAAAGTCAAAATTCTGAGATAAAAGTCTGAATTCTGAGATTAAAGTCAGAATTCTGACTTTTTCCTTCATATTATACTGAAATAAAATTTAAAAAATAGTTAACTTTTTTTGTTTTTTTCAGTGGTCCTTATCCTCTTGCATAGCTGTGGAATCATTGTGTGACTCATTTTTTTTTTTTGGGGGGGGGGGGGTTGTGTGGAACAATTGACATTTCACAAATGCATAGTTCTCAATTTGAAAAAATGTTAAAGAAAAGCAAAAAAAAAAAACTTTTTACTCTCTTCTTTAAATATGTAAGGTATCCTATTAAAAAACAAATGTAGAACAGAGCTATATATTTAAGTGATGAAATCAGAGCTAATAGATGAAACATTCAGCCCCACAGTTCCCACTGCGTTTAAGCTTTTCATATTTAAATCTCAAAACATATTTTACTTTCCCCACCATTAAGCTGATTATAAATCTCATTAATCCAGTCATCAGCTGTTAGGAGTTCCATTAATAACCATTTTTTTGTGATAGCTATTTAAATCGATTGAAAATGCATGTATCTTATGCAAAACTTAGTTGTTTGGTTATTACTTTGTCATATTCTTATACATATTCTTTGTAGAAATCTCCCAGTAATTACTGCAGCAGCTCCAGAACACATGATAGTGGTTTGCCCTGTTTTGGCCCTCCAGCATATTCACATTTTAAAGCACTGAACAACGGTTCTCACATAGTTTCAGATATTATAAATCCTTTTATCTCCCATTTTTCCTTTGTATAACCGGTGTCCTCTATAAACAAAGTCGTTCATTGTGCAGTGTTAAAATAATTGTGTGATTTATAATCACATAACAGATTTTTGTTTTGGTCATTTGTTCCTTCAAAACATAGATTTTGTTTTAATATCTAGAAAATGATTCATGGATAGAAAAAAAAGTTAACCAAAAAAGTCCCGTATTAAACCAGTAAAACAGATATTGTTTAACCTTATAAAATATTTTAGCCGTATCAAGTTATATTTTAGTCTGTTTTCAGTCTTATTTTATTTGATCAGCTCTCACCATATTTTTGTCAGTGATAGTCTTATAGGAATGCTTATGCAACTTTAAAGCACCAGCACCGAACTTAATATTCATACTGCTATCTTATATATCTCTACATGGCTATTGTGCTAAGATAATTTTTTACTCTGTAGTGTAACAGTTGTGGAATCATTTTATAAAAGCTTACATTCCCAAATATAAAAAAATTTATTAGACTTTTTTGCATTTCAATTAGGGCTGAAACAATTAATCGGATTAATCGATTATTGAAATAATCGTCAACTAATTTAGTACTGAAATAATCGTTAAATGGAGTATAGAGACTAAAACATACATTTAGCTGGCCCAACAACCCGCTTAAAGCAGCAATTATACCAAGATTGTAAAAAAAATATATATATATATAAACATTTTGAGTTTCTCCTGGTTCAATTTTGTAAAAAAAAAAAGTCTCTTTTAAAGAACCTTTGGCTATATTCATATTAAGCGATTAATCGTAAAAATAATCATCAGATTAATCAATTTACAAAATAATCATCAGTTGCAGCCCTAATTTCATTTAAATATCAAACTATGCATTTATAGAAAAATCTCCACTGTACAAATGAAATTATTACATGTATTTGACTGTTGTGTGTATTTATATGGCAAAATGCATGCAAATACAAGAGATCTGTTTTCCAGTATGGATTATATGTAGAAATACTAACTACAAATATCTACTCAATGTTGACTAGTGTAACTACATTGAAGAGGGATTGCTCCATGTTTTTTTTTTCCTGAGTAAGCTCAGAGCCTTTTAAAATAGTAATAATTATGAGTTCTGCTTGGGGTCAGCGTTAGAGGATGATAAATGTGAGAATCAATGGGGGTGATTTGGAAGGCCGACCCAGGCTACTAAAACAACAGTAAAGGGCTGCATTAAAAAGCAGTTTCAACTTTCAGGTAGTTCATCACACATTGTTTTCTCAGAGGATAATCTGTCGATGTGCTGGCCAGATTGTGCATGAGAAGGGGCATCACACAACCCAGTAAATGTATCTTTAATAACATGAAACACAAAATTCAAAAAGTTTGAACATATTAGTTAATAAATCAAGTTATGTTTTAGAAAGTTAGGATACAAAGGGTACTGAAAGCAAAGAAATAACATAAATTACTTTCCGTCCAACAGCTGGTTATAACAGAGTTTTTGATGACCAGGGATTCAAACAAGAAACACCTCATGATAGAATTAAGTAAAAAGATTTCAATGCATTGTTTAAGGACATATTTCTGCACTCGTGTTTGAGAGCATTGAAAGTAAAAAGACCATCTGGGCTCAAAATTACTACAGAAAAAACTATTCTATGGACTATAACAGTCAAACTGCTTAAAAAAGACCTTTAATTAGAAAACACAATGATAACTTGGCCATCATGGTAACTATGAACTCATAGCAAGAAACTCCAAAGTTAAACAAAAAATAAAAGGATGCTTGTTTAAAGTTTGCTGCAGAGTATTTGGAAATGCTGTGAAAAACAGCCTGGTTAGATTCACCAAAGTTGGCTCCTTTAAAATTGTTTCAAATACAGTGTTTTGCATGGCTGGACTTTGTGTGAATATTAGAAGATTAAATCACCATATGTGATTGATCCCAACCAATCACATATGGTGACGATCAGCTCATTTCAGAGGAAGAAAGTAAAGCTGCATGAATGCAAATCAACTCAGTAAAATACAACTGAAAGTCAATGGAAAGAAGAAGCTGCAAAACAGTCAAGATCCAAAGACCAGTTGTGAAAAATGGATCAAAATAACCTCTGAGCAATTCCAACAAGTAAATATTTTCATTTTTTATAAAGTATTGAACACTTAGTTTCATCATCACATTATTTATTAGATGTAACCCCATTTTTTGGGCTAATTTCAATTCATTTCTTTTTATATTTGTCTTACTGGGTTAATCTGCTGTACATAAAATGTGCGTGGGTCCATTGGAAATATACTTAATCCCCCTCAATATGTTGTAGATACATGCCTTAAAAGCTTTTTGTGAAGTAAATGTACCCTGATCTATGCTTCTATACTGGTCTACACTTCTATACTGGTCTATACCTCTATAATGGTCTATATTTCTAAGCTGGTCTATACTTCTTAACACAAACTCTAAAATGTAGAATCCATATTTATAAAATGTATAAAATGTCAACCCTTACTTTGGAGTTACTGATATATGCTAAGCAATGCCTACGGGCAACGTAAATTTAATAAATCCTGTTTTTACTTTTTTTTTTTTTTTTTAAATCCTCACTGTATCTTCTGACTCCAAGCCTTATATTTCCATACAAACCTCATGGTGTTTTATTGCTGCAGTTCACGTTTAATGAAAAATTATTACCAGCTGACTGACCTGGAGTTCATTATCATTCTTAGCCTTTTGAATTACTTTGCTGATTAACTCAACATGTCGATTTATCTGCAACTGAGAATCCCTCCAATAAATCAAAAATTATTCGCACATAAAAAAATAACATTAAGTAAATTGGAAAATGGTCCGCTGATGGACACCATCTGCCCTGAAGTAGAACTTCCTCTTATCGAGCAGCTCACAGGTCCCCTGTGATAACATGATGAGGAGTAAACGCTCTGATTAATGAGGGAAGGTTGTTCTTTGCATCCAGCTGGTAATTATTTCCTGGCCATGTATATTTAAGGATTTTCATAAAGCTGAAGTTTAGTAAGACTGAAAAACAGCAGAGCAGTGACCTTGTGTGTGAGAGTCGGAGTTTACAGCTTCTGCATCCCTTCAGCTGAAGAAACCCCCACCCCGGGTTGCAGCAGTGCAGTGAAACACCAAGGGTTGTTTTTTTTTTTTTTTTCTACTGCAGCAATCGCAACGTCTGCATTAGAGTCAGAATCACATATGAGCAGCACTTGCGTGTTTTTCCTTCACATCTGTCTGATTACTCTTTTCAAGAAACAAGATAGATCCTGCAGTAATTAGCGAGTCTTTCAATTGATGTGCACCTGGTTCATCTGCACTCATTAAGTCTGCTTTGTTATCCTGGCAACGCCAGCTTTCCAGGAACCGTTGTGCTTTTACCCACGGCAAAGTGGTTCAAACACAGAGCAAGATTTTATTTACAATTATAAAATGCATGTTTGATAATAAAAAAAAAACTAATGAGAAAATCAGTTGTTAAGAAACCTTTATTTGCACCTGTACACAGCTAATAAATGAGTGAAGTGAATAATAAGATTAAAGATTTGTCACAAAGAAATATACCTTTAAAGCCATGCATCTCTTTTACAATCAGCTATAACAGATAATTGTATGTTTTACAGTAGAAGCCGGTAGGACTGATAAACAGAAGCATGCAGATAGGTTGTTTTCAGTCACAAGATGGCAGCAGAAGATCATAGAGGTACAGCTTAAGCATTGAGAAGTTTGATGGCTTCTTCCAGATGTAAATGCTGGTGATAAAAAAAGGCCAAGCTCTGTCGATCTCTCTTCACTTTCTTTGCCGTGGAAAATCTTTCCACCTCTCAATGATGAATGATCCCAGGGCTTCTTATTGCGAAGAATTTCTGCGGCAGTATACTTGCTGATTGCTTCGTTCTCACTCCTCACAACAACCAGCTAAGACACTGCCAGAGAAACACCCACAGCAGCCGCGGCCTACCGTCCATCCACCCGTCTGTCCACCTGCCTCCTCTCAGTATGGAATTGGCGGGCTTTAGCTGCACCGTCTGACCCCTGGAGTCTGCCGCTGCTGACGTTTGCAGTTTCTCTCAGCTTTTTGTGATGGGATGTAGAGGACCTGCAGAATAAAAGATGTGAGGACAGAGAAAGTGATTGTGTAAGAATTATTTCACAACTTTTATACTTTTTCATAAAGCCTAAAAAAAAAAATACAAAAGCCTAAGGAGTCTGCACTTCCTGCTAAGTAGCCCAGAGCCTATTTCCGAGCAGATGCCTCATATCCTTCCAGCCTTTTTTCTGCAGCATCTCTTGAAGTTTGCATAACTTGGACAAACACAAACACTCGCAGACTAAGAATAGATTTGACATGACTCATGATTTTGCAACAAAACCTCGGTCGGATTTAGCTCTCACCTACTTGAGTATCTATTTGCTCTTTGGACTACTATGTAACCCGTAGTGTGTTGATGTTCCTCAGGAACTGCAACTAAAAACCCTTCTATCCCCCTTTGCTATCAGTTGCGTCCGCTGTCTGCAGAGCTATTTTAGTCCGGCTGACCGCTGGGATCTGCTTCTCTGACAGGACAACGGGGAAACTGGAGACCAGCATCGCAGCTGCTGACAAACGAGGGACAAGAGGGAGTTTTGAGTCTGTACGGGGACATTTTTCATCCGTCTTCTGTATGTTTGTGAATTTTCTGACACAGTTGGGGTTTTGTAATTGGGAATTCCAGAACTTGGTTTGTGCTTTTAAGTACTGGACCTTATCAGATAAAAAAGAATCTCAGTGCTTTGATGAAAGCGGCCTGCAACATTCACACGGAGCAAATTTGCTGAGGTGTTTATCTGTCAGAAGGCTTCTCATGTCTGCAGAGAAGGACAGCGGATCCTCTTGACCGGCGTTCTGATGGCCAACAGCTGCGCCCGTGTCCCTTTGTGTCTTTGTCTTGAGGCCAGGCGTCGCCGTCGCTGAGCGCATGTCAACAGGAATTCCTTCCTGTTCAGGCCTTGATGTAATCCCTAATAAAGAGCTGAGGAATGCCAATGAAAACCCAGCAGCATTGCTCGCTAAATGAATGAAAGGCTGCCGTACTGTTTCAGGCAGCCGGCTACTGCAGGAATAAACGCTGTCCACTCTCCTCACGGAAAAAGCTTTTAGGTTAAAATATTAACAAATGTTTTGAGAAAGGAAAACCAAATTTCAAATACAGAAATTATTATAGCATTGATTCAGTCAAACATTTGTTTTTTTTTATATATAGAAAAATGTCAACTAGCCCATTTGATGTTTTGTTTTGTCCACAAGACGACAAAATGTTTTTATAACATTTTTAGATTAAATGTTTATTTTAGACAAATGATTCTTTCGGAACATATTCAAGATTAGGAAGGCAGAATTGTGAAAAAACTGAATTATTTTTCAGTACATTTGTGAATGAATTAAGGAAGAAGTTATGCAAATAGAGAAGTGTGTAAAATGGATATCCTGAATGTATGTAATTTACAAAAAATATTTTGTGGTATAACACAGAAAACTATTTTGTTTGTCATTATATTGATCTACATTGTCCAATTGTCATATTAAATATTGAATGGATTAGACTTAAAAGTAATTTTTCTTTTGAACAAGAAATTTTTAAAATGGAACGAGAATTGTAGTCCCAAAGATCATAAAGCAGCATAATTTATTTTAATTTTAATTTCTCAAATGTTATTTATACTCAGTAGAATAATCATTAATGTCAATGGAGCGCTGAAACCTGTTCTTAAGTTTGCTGACCACCTTTGGAGCGTCTCCAGTGCTGAAATCTAATTCCATGATGTGGGAAGGCCATCTTTCTGTCACCCTAATCTTTAGCTTCATCAACAATTTTTATTTTTATTTTTTACTAAATTTGACTACAGACTCTGGCTAGATCCTTGCATATTATCTTTATTTTATTTAAAAAAGACAGGTTGCTATCTAGAAAATCTTATCCCTAACCTAAATCTGCCAGGGGTATGAATACTTGTGAACTTAACCAAATAGAGTTGCAAATAAACCATAGTTTTACTTTTTAACACTGAAATAGGGCTGGAACTGATTAAAATTGAAATTAATTTGGGGGAATTTTCTCTGCCACCTTTAAGTGCTTTTCTTCAAAATGATTGAAACTATAATAATAATGCTAATAATAATAATACATATTTGTATTATTATTATTATTATTATTATTATTTTATCTAATAGATTTTTCCCCCTTCTTAAGACAGCACCAGGTATATTTATTAATTATTACTTGAATTATCTAATCATAAAATATAATAATTTTCACAACGACATTATTCGACATTTTTTAATGAGAATAACCTCAAGTAGAACGTATATTGAGTTAGTCTGGTGTTGCACTTCAGGCTTTTGCTCATGATTTCATCACAGCTGCTGAAAGTTCAAAATTGGTTTCAACATTTAAAGTTAAATCTCTTTTTTTTTTTTTCCTTTTTCTTAAACTCAAATTATTATTTTTAATCTGGTAATTTTATTTGTTTCAAAATGCACACAGTTTAATCTCTCAGTGGTTTTGTTCTTAATTCCTCTCCCTGATCTTCTGTGTTACATTATCTACGCTTCTAATAAATAATTTTTTAATCCAAATTGCTTCTTCTTTAGTATCAGGTGTGTAAGCGTTGTACTTTAAGTAAGGGTTTTTAAATGTTTCTTATAAAGGAATATAATATTGTGTTAATTTAAAAAAATGTTTGAGGTGATTATTAGTCAGTGTGACGACAACCTGCTCGGCTGTGGTGAACGTGTCTTCAGGTAAACAGTCTCTTCTATTAGTTGGCATTTATGCGACATATGCAGCCTAAAAGCAACATCTTGTTTCAGGAGGAAGAAACACCTGCACTGAAACAAACAAACACACCTCCACGCTGAGCAAACCTAGGCTCCCCTACACCTGACTCACCTAGATCTACCTGCTGTCAGACCTCTAAATGTGTCAGAAATAAAAACAAACAACCATCATGCCTCATATCAGCAGCCCCGTGTTTTTCCTTCCTCATCCCTCATTTCTCTGCTCCCTACGTTTCTCCGTTGTTCTGCTGTCAGCTTGCAGTGCTCCGGCAGTCATGCTTCACCGGCTTGGTCCCACTCCACTCACATAATCATCTTATGGCTAACAATGCTGTTGGTAATATTGCACAGGGAGGTTTCTGAAGAGTGGTGTGAGCAACTGTTTGTTTATTAATTAGAGGCAGGAGGCCATTTAAATCGACATAATCAAAAGCCGTTAGTAGTTATGGATTGACATGGCAATGGTGGACATATATAACGTTATCACAGTATTTTAGTAAAGAAGAAAATTAAAATATATTACATAATATTAGCTGTAATTCAAAATTAAAACAGTCTAAAAATGTAATATAGTTAGTGATCAATTTATAATAAACCTAGCTGTAATCTTCTATGCTTATTACACAGAGTATTTACACTCTTTGTTCAGTAGCGTAAGCTTAATTGTCGGGAAGCACGTCTACAGTCGGCTAATTGAAAAGCTTAGCTTATCAAATGTACCTTTGAAACCGAGCTACTGTAGTATGGGGGATGCATTTTGCAAGAACAGCGTTTTTTTATTTTTTCTGTGAAATATTTCCAACGTGTCTCTTTAAGAAGCTAGGGGAAAGGGTAGCGGCCTTCTTGCGGCCAGCTGGCCAGCAGTTTTCAGCAGGTGAGAGAGAAGCAGTACTGTGTTACTCAATGCTTAAACAGACTCCTCTGCAACAGAATGACGGAAAACAAAACTGATTTAAAAAGCGTAACTTTGAAATCTCATTGCATGCGTTTTGACTGCAAACCAGCTGAGGTGTGAATAAATTGCCTTTGCTTATATACTGAAGTGGGTTAATAGTTCAGGTAGGCTAATGTAAAACTAAGAGGGGGTCAGAGTGCGTTGAACAGGGGTTTATGTATTTGAGCTTCCATGTGATTTTTACCGTTAAGTTTATCAATAACATGTGATTGTGAGTGACAATGTGGAAAGTCTGTCCCAGTTTTATCTCTTTCTGTAAACTGAACTGCAATCATGCAGAAGTGCTGACTGCACTGAGTGGGAGCACTTTGAATACACCGTCATCCCATAAGTAGCAGCTGTAGTTTGTACAGGCAGTGTTCCTCCTGTTGGTCCTGGCTTTGTAGAGAGGATGCTTCTAATATCAGGTTATCCTTCGGCTCAGAATCCATGCAGGCGTTTTCACGCCACTTTGTCATTTGTGTAGCTGTCCTCTGAATTCAGCAACCTCTTCCCTAGTTTCCAAGACACTTTCACAATGCTGAAAGCCGTCATTTTAAAATTAACCTTCGACATTTCAATTTAGGCCAACTCATATTGTTAATTTAGCTTATCTGATGGCCTTAAGTCCTCTATTTTACTTAACTATGCTACAAAATCTAACCTACTCCACCATTAGCTGCCTATTTATGCAGTGAGAGTGAATCAAATTGTTAAAATAAGTTCGAACATAAAGTCATAGGAGATTATTCACACTCACCAGGGAGCAAGGCAGCGGCAGAGCTCCTCCATCCAAAATACAGGCTGCTGCAGAGTCTCTTCACACAAGCTCCAGTTGACCACCAGCTTCTTCTGTTTCTTTGTGGCCTCTCTCTCTGTCTCTGCGTCTGCTTCATCCAGACAGCACAACATGTCAAGGCATGTTCCATCACGCCACCAGCAGTCGAACCCAGTGCATGAGCCTAGACCACAGAGAGGGAGGAGGATCAGAGAAGGGGGAAGCCCAGAAAGGACCCAGCATGACTCAGACCTTCACTGAGTTAGCTTAGCTTTCACTTTAAAACACATGATGGGGTTATTGTTGAGCTGATGACGTGACAGGATAAAGGCAGCTCAACAAAAAAATGTGTCAGAGGGGAACGTTAATAAACTGGCCTGACTTGATGACAAAGAAGAAGGAAGTTCCACTTGTTTCTGAGAACTTTTCAGATTAGAAGTTGTTTATGTGTTCATGTCAAGGTTTTATAAGTTATACTTTCAAAACTGTTAAAACATCCCATAATACTGTTTCTGTAGTTTAAAGTTGCTTTGATGGGGCACCAGAGGAAGTGCGAGAGAGTCTTATGCCAGCATGAGGTTTTCCCACCTATTGCTGAACACTGCTGGTTAGCAGGCTGAAAAGGGGCTGCAGCTTTTTTTTCCCTTATTTTCAAGAAAGAAACTAAATTCAGTGTCAAAAACAAAACACAAATAAAAGTAAAGTCAGGAAAGAGTGACATGTCAGCTAACCCAGGAGAACTGGCTGAACATCCAGATTATCCAGTTTCTGTCAGATTTACTTTTGGCTTAACTATAGATTAACCCACTATGAAGTTAATTTTAGCTTTTTTTTTTGGGACACGTGGGTCTGATACTTAAGTTTAAACTTTTTTCTGCCTTTCTGCCAAAGTGTTTAATATTCTGCACCAATAGTTGCGGAAACTTAGTATTAATATTTTACTGTTACATGTTACTGTTTACAATGTTTGTGTAAGCACCATAAAATGGTTGAATTCTTTTAATTTTTGTCGCATTAGCACCAAACTTTCACTCTTTATTGGCTGAAGCTGAATGCATAACTTTAATAAAGAAAATCCAAAAGAGCCCAAATTCCTCTTCGGTTCTATCTGTTGTAGTTCTATCTGATCTTTAGCAGAAGCTGTAACTGGGCACCAGCACAGCGTACTAATGAAAGCTGCTGATTCATCAGATCATATTATACAGTATCCTTCAGTAGGTCACATCAATTACAGATGAAGCCAGTATAAATTATAAAACCAAAAATCTGAGGAAAAAGCATCAGCAAAGATTAGAGATCTGTGTGAAATATTAACTATTTCATAGAGCATCAACATTCGATCTTTGATCTGAATTTAAAAGCCATTCACTGATGTAGCAATCAAGAGATCTTCTATCAGATCGGTCAGAGCTTAGGTGCAGATGTGCACTGCGTGCTGTTTAGGTACTCATATGTAAACTGTGCTAAATGTGCCAGATCATCAGTATCAGCGAGTGCTAATTATGTTGAGTAGCTGGGTTTTTTAAGTACTAGAGGAGGGGTGATGCCAGTTCATCACTGCTGTTAGTGGAAGTTGATCACTAGGCAGATTCTGGCTTCAGTAGCAGAAGCCAGCTCAGCAAAACTCACCTGCTACAATATGGTCTGAGTTTGGCTGCCTGAACGTCTCTTAAAGTTGTGCGCTTTGTACATCAGCGGCGTCACTCTCTGCTGCAGCCCGTCAACAGGCCGATGACCTTATCAATGAGAGAACAAAGTCACTACGGCGTTACACCCAGAGGCACTCCAAGTGCTTTCAGCTCTGCTTCGTCTTTGCAGGCGGCTAGAGAAGAAATCTGTGGAAAAAGAGCAGAAGAGGGGGAAATGGTCTGAGTATGGTGGTGTTAAAGTAGTGACAGCCATGATGCAGCACCGCAAAGTCCAAACTGAGTTATACGAGATGCTGGTCAAGAGTGGAATATGAACATTCACTGAGCGAGGCAACTCAGAGGAAATTATCCTCAGCTGCAAAAAAAAAAGTGAAATCTTGCCATTTATCTCCCGTCTTACTTGGGACTGCAACGAGGCCTCACTTTTATTTCTGTCAGTCAGAGCACCTGGTAATGGAGGGGTGGGGGGCGGGTGGTCTAGAGGAACCCCTAGCCTAGCAAGTTCAAAGCTTGCTGCATTGATTACATCATCGAAACAGGAGTGCTGGAATGGGACAATGCACCATCGGGGGTGAGGAAAGGAGGGAGGGAGGGGGGGAGAGTGGGTGAGGGGGGGTGAATTCATCTGCTTCCCCCTGTTCTGTCTCTAAACTCGGTTTACTCCAACGCTGAGCGAGACGGCCTGCCCTGCCTCAATCTGTGCACCGCTGTGTCATGTCAGCGAAGGACTCTGATGAGTAAATGATAGAGTTGTGTGGTGGTGTGCATCTTCATATCCCTGTGTGTGTGTGTGTGTGTGAGAGTGTGTGCACGCTGCTGTGGGCCAGCACTGCAGGAGTACAGCTGCTGCAGGACACTGCAGGATCGGTGCTCTGCTGCCTCCTCACTGGCTCTTGTTCTCTTCTCTATGTTCTCTCTCGGGCAAAATGCTCAAGGAGGATGGTGAAAGCATGTGCTGCATACTTTTTTTCAGCTCAGGGGGAGGAGGGAGGGGGGATCAGCGAGCTGCAAAGCATGCCAGTCAAGCGCTTTGCTGGCCAACTGTACCTGCGAGCAAGACTACAGTAGGGGAAACTGGAGACCAAGAGACAAAGAGGAGGAGAGAAAGAGAGGAGCTGTGTAGGGAGGTAGGGGAGGGGCTGGGGGGGCAGGGCAAGAACAGAGGTGCAAGAAACATCAGGTAAGTGCTGCAGTTTCCTGTGCTGATAGTGCAGCATTAACCCCAGTGAGCCGGCGTGCAGGAGAACTGCAGATGTTCTTTGCTCAGATACTTGGCGCAGAGCTTTAGTTCTGTGTGCTAGAAGTTTTTCTACAGAACGCAGTCCAAAACTCACATAACATGATTACCTTAAGTGAACTCACTGCTGACCCAGGCATGTAGTAAAGTAGCCCTGCAAGGCTGAAAACCAGCATTTAATACAGACAACCATTTTAAACATCCTTCATCTTGAGAAAAACATTTTTTTATCTCCTTTTTAAATCTCTTAAAGTTAAGTAGAGAGGTAGCAACGTTGACTTTTAACATTTATGAGAAAAGTGTAGGAGTATTTCTGCTAAGAATGATCTCCATTTACCTCTAGAAACAGTAGACTTGCTCTACAGCAGTGTTTTTCATTGTAAAGAATCTAACATCCTCATATAGGACATCAGGGGAGTCATATTAGCACAACTTCATGACTGCACCACAGCCTCCCTGTCCCACACAGGCCGCTGTGGCCTCATTTTCATTTTCCCACTCACTATCTAAACCCAGTCATTGTTGCAGGTCTTCCTTACAAATGTCAAGCATTTAAAGCACAGTATACCCATTGTCTTAAATGTAAACACAAAGCTAGTGGGGGAAAAAAGCCAAGATACAACCAGCAGAGTCAGCATAGACTCAAGTCTCAACTAGAGGAGGGAACTCTTTGCATCCTGATAAGTTTACAGTGCCCTTGTGAGAAATGGAGCCCTGTCGAGGTTCAGCTATCTAACACGCCGGCTGCTATTTCGAGCCTTTGCCATGTGTTAAACATGGATGAGGGAGCAGTGGAGCCTGACTGCGAACTGAGTGGCTCTGTCTGGCTGGCCGCTGCCTGCAAATGATGAGGCAGATGCAGCCTGGAGCCTCAGCACTGCAGGCATCCTCACCGACATGCCTAGATCAACTCATGGAAGGATGATTCGAGGAATATGTTATGCTTTCAAACAGAAAGAAAAATACCTTAGCAGATAAACATGCAAAGTAAAGGACAAGGTAGAGGACTAAAGGAAGGATGGAATATTTACCCACTGAAGAGTCAGGCACTGCATCACTCTGGAGGAGGAGAGGATGAAAACTTCTCTTCACTCTCTGTGAGCCTCTTGGTCACTGGTGGTGTGCTTTCATGGCGCGGCAAACTTGACTGCAGCACTGCCTCCTGAACAGAATGACATTGTTTGCACTCTCTCTCCCTTTTACTCCTCCTTCTTTCTCCGGTGCACGCTTGTTCCCCCTCCTCTTCTTTGCACGCTCACTGGCAGCACAAACTGCACAGCTCAGCAGTGTTCCCTCACTGCCGCAGCAGATCCTGCATGAGCTCTGCGTATCTGAGAGGGATGGGACTTTTAAAGGGGAACGCAACCTCCAGGGTCAGTCGATCTCTCCTCTCCTCTCCTCTCCTCTCCTCTCCTCTCCTCTCCTCTCCTCTCCTCTCCTCTCCTCTCCTCTCCTCTCCTCTCCTCTCCTCTCCTCTCCTCTCCTCTCCTCTCCTCTCCTCTCCTCTCCTCTCCTCTCCTCTCCTCTCCTCTCCTCTCCTCTCCTCTCCTCTCCTTCTCCTTCTCCTTCTCCTTCATCAGTGTAAGAGAACCCCTCTGTGCAACATAACTCATAATCCACTCAATTTAATACCACAGCAGAAGCTGATTTGAGAAATGAGGATTATCAGCAGCTGTTCCTCGTGTGTATTTTGCATGTTAATAATTTTTTTTACATTTTATAAATATATATATATTACTATTTAAGTAAAGAACACAAAGTTTCCAATGATCTTAAAAGTCTCTCCAATTTCGTGGGAGGTTTTAGATGTTTTAGAAGTATATGAGATTGGAAAACTGGAAATTATGCAACTGATTTTGATATTACATTTAATTAACCTCGAAGCACTAAACTATTAATTGTATTTTAATGACATTCATTGATGCACACGTTTACTGCTCAGTCCAGGAGCAGTGACACTTAGGAAACCCTCTAAACCTTTGCGCACTGGCTTTAAATCCTGTTTTAACTTTACAGTTCTCTGAGGTGCAGCACTAAAATTACCTTCGCTGGAGAAAAATGTCCTTAATCTGCAACTACCTACCTTTTTTTACCCATGATGCAATGTTCTCCTGGTGCCATTCTGCAGTGCGCTAAAATCTGAACAATCTTGACCAACTGAATTTGTCTTTTATAGATTACAGTGAGAGTGAGATCATCCATCATTTAGTCAGGCTTTGAGGTCTCACTTTATTTTTTTTACGTTTGTTCTGAGAAGGAGGGTTTTTTAGTGGTTTGATTCCCGACTTCCAAATAATGATATTTAGACACTGTGCAGATAATGGTGTCTCCATTAGAAATCCTCTGTGTTTTATCCATTAGCGTCTTGGCTGTTTTCCTGCAGCAGTGCAGCGCTTTCCACGTCTCACTGCAGGAGGTTTGTCTTTTTTTTATAGATTCGTGGTGCCGTGGCCCTCAGGTAAATACCATGAGGCTCTCTTTCCTGGAAATCAAACATCACGGCTTTATTCATCTTTAATTACCCCTAATCGCTGTCACACATCTCTTAATGGTTCATACGATTTATTATATTATCAAACTTTAAAAAATATATAAAAAATAAATGTATCACTATCTACCTTTTCTTTTGTTTTCAAAGCCGAGAATTAAATAAAATGTATTTTCTTTTAAACAATTACCTGCCACATCACAGGCACAAATACAGGAACAGACTAGCATGTACGGATAATGGCATTGTGTTTATAGCAGTATTAATTAGGAAACTGACCAGAAATTAAAAAATTGTTGTAAATATACACATATCAATTTTGCAACAAAGACGATTAATGCAGCAGGACGTTGTGGCAACAGAAGGCAGGGGAGGTGGATTTATTTTTTGTTTTTACCAGCTGAAATGATAAGACATGTTTATTTATGAAAATGGTAAGAAAAAAAACTTTGTTTGAACCTGATTTAATGTTTTGAATATTGAGAAATCACCTCAATATGACAAGCCTCATAAAAATAACCCGAAACTCAAATTTTTTTCGTTTCTTTCCAGAGATCCACTTAAGCTGGGGTTAAATATCCATGACTCCAACAAAGACATCTAGCATGTTTGTATAGAAATAGTTTTCTTTTAGATTTCCCAATGATAGACTGGAAAGTTACAATGTTCTCAGTTGTTCTTGTTTTTTGGAAATGGCTGTGACAAAATAAACTTAATTCATTGTTAGAATATCAGCCCACCTTTCAGTTTCTCACAGAGATGCTGAAAAAGTTAAGTTATTAAACTTTTAGCTCACAGAATTGGCTCCTGCTATGTTTTAGGGATATTCCTGTTATATTAAATTATATATATATATATATATATATATATATATATATATATATATATATATATATATATATATAAAATATAATATTATATTTGCAGATTTAATTTCACTTGCCTTTTTAAGACTATGAAGGTATGTAAAAACCTATTGTTGACCTTATAAAGAATGCGTAGTGTAACAGACGGTGTCCTTGTAATACCATTTCGAGCAAGAATAATACTTTAGTACATTTAAATTCACTTATGTAAAACATGAAATGTTCATGTTGACAGAAGTGAGACTTAGCAATAGTAAGAACTGTCTTTATAAATAAATATTCTGTGTACATAGTTGCTTTGAGAAATGTGCTGATATCTCAGCACATCATAGTGAGAATGAAAGTCAGAACAAGCAGAAATTATCAATATACGAGCATAAATACAATTTTTTATTTACAGTTTTTGATATGAATAATTCAACAGTGTTTTAAATTACTGGCAGACTGTGTTTTCCATAGATCAATTTTAAGTCCCTGAAAAGAAAACCATTTTGCTTGATTTTACAGCTTCTTCATATTTCTTCTGACTTTGTTGTGTTATTGTTCTTATATCAGATCACAGCAGACCAAACGCTGAAGTATGTTTAAAGTGTGGATACATTCCAAAGATTTCTATTGTAAAGGTTCAAAGGAAAGTGTCGCAAATCATCTGAGGTGCTGATGCTTTAACCAAATAGGAACTTCCCATAAAACATGGCTGCTTTGAATAAAGTATTTTATTTTTAGAGAGGTTTTCCTGAAAAAAACGACATATGATAAGTGAGCTTGAATGCTCCAGAGAATAATCCACAGAATCTGACAACCTGGTGACTTAAGCAAACCCCTCCATTCTGAGAATTAATAATAATAATAATAATACATTTTATTTAAAAAGGCGCCTTTCTGGACACTCAAGGTCACCGTACAAAACATAAAAAGTGTCAGAAAAAAATAAAAATTATAATTATAAAAACATTTAAAAAATACAGAGGCTGTGACAGTGAAATTGATATTTTTAAATTAGTTACTTGTAATATTGTTAACCATTCTTTTATGCATTTTCCAAAGCCCTCTCTGTGCTCTACCAGGGTGAAATTGTGCATTAAATGCACTTATGAAGTTAAAAGTAACGGCATTAAGATGACATTTTTGCATGGTAAACATTAAAACTAGGAACTGCTTCTTCCCGATCATAGAGTCAAGCTGATACCCATCTGCATGAACAATCAGCTGCTGCTGCAGTCTTGCAGCTTCCGTCCTCTCCTCTGCATCCTGTGACTCCAGGGAAAATGCCCCCGCCAGCACATCCCTCCCACAGTCCACGCACATTCAGTAATGACATCCCTTGCAATGAATAAGCCATGAGGGGGGGCTCTTTTACATGTCCTATTAGATTACATCGCTATGCTTTACCTGGCTAATGCCACTTCAACACCTCTGGTTTTCTTATTGACCTAGTATTATCTGTTGTTGGTGCACACACAGGAGCAGAGTGTATTTCCTTGTCTCTGTACGTACAGTCAAATTCAATATACTATAAAATACGAAAAAATGCAGTTTGTTTGTTATAATAAAAGTGCTTTTTAAAATAACCTTTAAGCAGGTATTAAACATACTTTCCCATAAGTCATGATTTCTGTGTCATAAAGGGTTATTTTACTGGTTTGAAGAAATATTCTAATCTAAAGCGTGTTTTCATTTGCTGCAAGTGGAGATGCATCATTATTAACAGAACTATAAGCTTGGAAACATCAGTCGGTGTGTAATTAATAAGTATATTGGGTTTTGCTTTCCAAATTGAAATAATAAAGTTGAAATTAACTTTTTAATGTTTTTCTCATTTGTTGTATATGGCTGTATGTGATCTGTTTTTCTAATATGCTCTTGATCTGTTTAAAAGTCCAGAACTAACTGAATAATGAGAGATGCTATATTTAAGCAACTTTTTGGTACTTGGTGGCATGAACCTTGACAAGTAAAGTCTATCAGAGGAAGTAAAGGTTATCAGTCATGTATGGACTTTCCTGACATACAGATAATAGACTTAAGCTCAACCATTGGCTGGTGAGTTAGTGTGTGTCGTTTTTTGTTTTTCCTTTCAGTGTTTCTCTCTTTTTTTGCGATTCACAGCTCGTTCTTCAGCTCTATTGATCTGTCCGGAAAAGATAATAGACACATTGATTCACAAGCTCAGCAGCTTGCTTCGTTTACACATCAGTTCGGACTAATTCTCCTTAGTCCTTAGTCGAGATGAAAATTTCTTTGACAGACAATTGAATTCTTGCTCTTATAAACCATATGTAGAAGTTAATTTAAGAATATTTTTGCTTTCTTTAGGATGCAGAAGGATGTTTTTTTTCTAAAGGAAAGGTTCAGTTGCATTTTTTTTTTCCATGGAAATATATCATAATTTAAAGAAGTCCCAAAGAAATACAACGCAGTAAAAAAAAATATAAACTGTGAAAATGCATTCAAATATCGTTTAATAAAAAGAAATGAATGATTTATAAGGAAAATGTTCAAACAAATTTTTAACAATCGTACAAAGTGTGATGGGCTATTGAACGGCTACTCCAGCAATAAAGCAGTTCCAATTGTAATAAAGCCCTTTATTTGCTAGAAAGCTGTACAACTTCTGCATAATGCAAATATGAAAAATACATAGCAGCAGTGGCAACAGTTTTTTTCTGAAACTGGAAAGGCTCAATGTCTTAAATAAATCCAAACATAGCATATTGCAATGATAAATATTAAAACCCATATTGTAAAACAAATTACATATAAACCCAATCTGCCCTTCTCTCTTTTTCAGGAAATGCTCTATGACCCTGTCATGCAGCTCTCTTTTCCATTGATTTGACAATTTTCTTGGGAGGAAATGAACAAAAAAATTTAAAAAGGTAAAAACAATGAAATAACACTGGGATTTCTTTTATTTATTTAGGGTATTGTGTATACAACGGGTGAACGTAGCT